GCCTCCGCCGGCTCAGACGCACCTGCCTCGACATCGCCAGCGAGCAAGAGCAATCCGCCCCCGCCGCCTTCCTCCCGTGGTCCCATCAACCACGCGAGACGCTACACGCTTTCCCGCTTCCCTCTGCTCCGCAAAGGAAGCCGCGAATTGACCAGGACGCCCTCGACCACAAAGAGCCCCGCCGAATCGCCCTTCTACGCTACCGGTGCACCGCGCTCCTCACAGTCGCTTGCGCGTGGCCCAGATCTTTCGCCCGCACGCGAATCCGCTGCCAGCCCCCACGAAGACGGCGACGTCATAGCTGAAGAGGAGGAAGCCACACGACATCTATCAGAGAGACCGAGAGCAGGCAAGCCCGACAAGATGCATCAAACAAGTTCGCGGTTACTCCGCATGACCGACGATGAGCGGCCCTATACCAGGGTGAGTACAACTATTCCTCACTTCCCGACATATCCACGTCAAAAACGCCGAGCCCGTCCAACTTCGACTATGCGAAGACGTCGGCTAACACTCGAATCAGGATTTCAAGGATCTCTTCTCAACCCTCATGGTCTCACTTCCCCTTACAGCACATCGCGTTCGCTTCAGGATGATTGACTTCACCTTCACATCAGACGAAGCAATCACCAACCTTGGATCCCTCAAATTTTCCCAGTCAAACCGCATGCCAGATCCCAAGGACTCATCACGTGTCGTCACCACTACCACCACAACCACTTTCTCAATGGCCAAGGAAATGGCCCGCTCCGTCTGCCAGAAGTTCCTCGAGGCCAAGTTTGTCGAGTCGGTAGAGGGCAAGACAGATTTCATGAACAAGAGCTCGGTCTGGCAACTTACGCCCAAGGGCATTCACATCCTGGAGCGGTTTTGCACACGCAACGGTATCGCTTCAGCTCACGTCAAGGCAGTCATCGAGTCCAACAGGAATCCCCGACAACTGGTTGTTCTCGAGCGTAACACCGAAACTGACAAGCTCCATCATGACGAACAGACTGTTGAGATCCTCTTCCGCCGCTTCATTGGTACCACCGCAAATGAAACCCAGTCAGATTCCGACTCAATACACGAGTTCTCAAAGTGTGATGTTGGGGTTAAGCTTGTCAAGCATCGGCCTACTTCGCAACGCCAGTTTGAGTACACCTTCAATGGACGCAACGCCGCACAGTGGCTCATGGACTGCACAACTATGGTTGACCCCCGCGAATCTGTCGAGGTCGGCTCATTGTTCTTGCAACTAAAGCTTATCGCTCCAGTTGATCCTCGTAATTCAGAACACCAGTTTCAGCCCTCCAAGCAGGTACACTATTACATCACCAATCACGGTGAGCGCGTTGCTGGCTGGCTTCTGGACGAAGTCCCCTCAGGTGGAGACATTGCAGTGAAGTCAAGGGATGGGGTTGCCCGCGATTCCAACAGCAACCGCACCAATGTCATCATCCGTAACCCTTCATGGCGCCTTCTGTACCGCGAGTTCCTCAAGGAAACCATGTGTGAGGAGAACCTCTCCTTCTACCTCGAGGTCCAGCAGTTCAACAAGCAGTATCGAGACGCTATCAATGACAAGGGGGATAACAAGGTCGAGACCATCAGAGAGACTCTTGCCGCAGCTTATGGTAAATCTTCACACACTCAAGCTGCAAACATTTTTTAACTGGTTTAGGTTTGTACAACGCTTTCCTGGCTCCTGGTTCACCCAACGAACTCAACATCGACCATGGTCTTCGTACACAACTCGCCACTCGTATGACACGTGCCGTTGGGGACGACGCAGCAATGTTGCAAAGCCTCAACGAAGTTGCTTCGCTTTTTGAGAAGGCACAGCAATCCATCTTCAAGCTCATGTCAAGTGTATGTTCTCTCTTGTATACCCGTTACCCGAACATCCTGCTAATCTCACATTAGGACTCTGTACCCAAATTCGTAAAGCACCCCAAATACGGACCCCAACTCCGCGGGCTCGATGCCGCTGCTGCATCCGCCTACGTCGCCTCACCAACTGCCACCCGATCATAGAATGAATATCTGGCCACTCTTACGACTGATTCTGATACCTTTCACATGACGACACAACGACGATATGCGAGTGCCGAACCATCTCAGGCTCGTGCGCCTCTCTTGGATAGCTAGCATCATTCTCCTGATACCTCTTTCTCTCGGGTTCTCAACCTGTTCTCCTACTCCATTGCATCCAGTCATAGACTGCGGCGTTTTATGGGTTCCCGGCCAAAAACATTAGCATCAGGTGGTCGTTCGTGGAATTACCCCTTTTCTTCTTTGACCTATGTCACATTTTGTTTACCTTTCTTGTCTTTTCTTTTTCTTCATCTGGTGGTCATAGCGGGATCCAATCTGCAGGCGTACGTCACTGAACGCTTGCAAACAACCGAAGTTCGCAGGTGTTCTTTTTCTTTTCCTTTTCCTTTTCCTTGACGGAGACTAAAAGCTGGGACCGAAGACTATCGGACGTTGCCCAGAGTACTATTTTTGGGCACCTGTTCACGGCTGCACCCCAGCTATTCTGCCCTCTTCATCGTACTTTCCGACGAGCGAGCGTCGAAATGAGGACGATCGGGGCGGTATAGATGGGCACCGCGACAGTCTCCTCACCGAGACTTATGTAAGTTTAGGTTGAGGAGAGTTGATCAACATGCTGGATATGGGAGAGCAGTCGACACGACCCGACGAAGGCACTCGATAAGCATTGGACGGATGACGGAATGCAAATAGAGCACTACTGTACCCTAATAGGAGGTTTCCGATGATACCCTCATACTATAGAAGAATTCATAACGATACTACATATCCTTGCTTCTTGCTGGCAATGACTTGAACTCTGTTAACTAATTTGACAGCGGCCGACCACAGCACGGCGAATTCTCCGAGGGACACAACCGCACATCTGCCTAGCCCCAACCATCCGCGTTACATAAGCACACTCACTTCACTCCTGAAAACCTCCACGACCCTTTTACGAGTCTGGGCCCCGGGCCACTTGGTATCTCTAGCCCTGGCCCCTTCTAGTTCAACTTATCTGCTACGTGCGCATGCTACGTCCGCGGACGCACGACCGAGCGTACCCTGATTTTATCTGTCAGAAGTCAGAACACGACCTTCCACCACATCGCGCGAATCGTATTTTTTTAAGGGAGCTGCGGGTCCATGCAGTCAACTCCGAAAGCTACTTTTGCATGTTTTAAGTCGTAGGTTGGTCGCATCGGTGGGGATAGTCGGAGACGTGATGGGTCGTTGGTGCAGGCGTCGCCCTCCGCGGGTTGTGGTTGGTGCGGAGGAGGACCGGGGAGAGCTGTTTGGTGGAGGGCGAGGCTGCGGATCGGAGATGGGCTGCCGACAGTCGTTGTCGGGATTCAATCTCGGTAAAGCCCCGGGGAGCGCTTGAAGGGTCGAGGAATATACGGAGCGACGGGGTGTTCATGCATCGATAGAGTTTCAAGGATGAGAACTGTCATACCAACGAGGGAGTTCTCGGGTTGCAAAGGTAATGTAAGCGTAGTGGTACGACATTAAGCCTTACCTCATCTTCTCTTTTTTTCCGGCAATATGGATTTCAGATGTTGACACTACGATGCCGAGCTCTGATCGCCATGCCATGTGAGTTCCTCGCGATCACCACCATATCCAGCTGGCACTCGATTGGCAGATCAGCCACTCGCAGTTTCCATTGCGTAGTCAGCATTGACTACTCATCTTCGGAACAACCCTCTCGGGCCGGTGACCGTCGTCCGTCGTGCATCTCCGACCGTATATAGCCGCGTGGTGGCTTGTCAGCGGCGTGAAGATTAGGTTTTCCAGATAGGGTTTTCTTGGGCCAAACGGCGCAGTTCTCATGTAGTTTGGTGCATTGCGCTCGCGTGGCTTCTTCGGTGGTATTAATTTGAGTTGAGGGGATCTCCTTGATCGCGTAGGGAAGAGCCCGCAACCAACGGCCGTGGATGCGTCTCGCATGTATGTGTTTATGGCAGGTGCGTCAGTGTCCCGTTCGTATGATTACATGATCGGTCAACGAGCATCCTGTTTTGTCGGGCGTAGAAAGGGGTGACCCTGGGTCGTGTAGTTTAGAGTTTGTGATGCCACATGGAGGAGCTTGGTGGCAGAAAACGTGCATCCATTTCCGAGACGGTGGTAAGTTTTGCAAGCGTTGCTGCGCCGGGTGCAAGATTGAACACGATTGGCCAGCAGCGCTAGCCTTGCACTGTGGATTACTGGTGGGATGTTAAGTGAGAGAGCGTGGACGGGAAGTTTCTCCGGTGTACTAGAGGATGCGAAGATGGTGTAGGGGTCCAGGTAGAGGATGTGCAGTAGGAGCACGAGATCTTCACGTCCGTTATACGCGAAGACGTATCATGCACCGAACGACATGCCAGCAAATTTCAAGGATCAGATCTTCGCGCGCTCCGTCATAGACGCCATGGATAGCCCTCCGCCGCTTGTAGGACTAAATGCTCGAGTCCACATGCTCCGAATCTACTCAGGATATTATGAGACGATGTATGTGGGCGTGATCGACAGGTACTCATTCTTCTTGGAGCAAGCCCAAGCGAACCGAGGTACTTGTGGCTTGCAGCGTAGAATGCTTGTGGCTTGCGGGATTTGATGCTACATTTGGGTTGAGAGACGATGACGTCTGGGAGGCTAAGTGGTAGTGCGAAGGGTTCATGTGCGTGCGAAAGAAGGCTTCGGAACGGGGCATGTCGAGCCGAGGCAGATCTGTTTGACACGAGACAAGACGGCTCGACCACGTGAGCTGGCGTGCGCGCGTTGCGCGTATGAGCCAGTCCGTGCGTTGTGTTTTCGGGTCTGACGCGACCATGGAGACGGTCGCGATAACAGTGATCAGGCAACAGCAAAGAGTCAGCATCACAAAATTCGCGCCAGAGTCTACTTTCGCATTACAGGAGCTCACTAGCGGTGCCTGCTCTCATCTTCCCGGCCTACCTTGAACACTCGACATCATGGGCCCCGCGCCGCCCAACAGCCAGATGGCTCCTCTGCCTACGGACCTCCCCTTCCGGCTCGTCAGTAAGACGATTGGACAAGGCGCATACGCTTCGTACGTAGCCATACAACTCTATACAAGATGAGAGGAACTCGCTAATGGTAGAGACTGTAGCATCCGCAAAGCCGTCCCACACAACTCGCCCAAGCCCGTCATCGCCATCAAGTTCATCAACAAAGAACATGCCCTGCGAACCGGCCGCCTCACGCCGAAACAAATAAAGATGGAGATTGTATTGCACTCGCATCTCGGGAAGCACCATAACATCATACACTGCCTGGGCTCTGGAGAGGATGCGCTGTGGACATGGATTGCCATGGAGTTGGCTGAGGGCGGGGACTTGTTCGATAAGATCGAGGCAGACGAGGGCGTGGGCGAGGATATTGCGCACTTCTACTTCACCCAATTGGTGAATGCTGTGACATACATGCACAGTAAGGGCGTCGCGCATCGCGACATCAAACCTGAGAACGTGCTATTGAGCGCCGAGGGAGACCTCAAACTCTCTGACTTTGGATTGGCAGCACTCTTCAAGAAGGACGGGCAACTACGACTATGCAATACCGTCTGTGGCTCGCCGCCTTACATTGCTCCGGAGATTGTATCAGGAAGGCGAAGCAAGAGAGCTGATATGCTAGACAGTGGCTATGCAGCGAATATTTGCGACATCTGGAGTTGTGGTATTGTTCTCTTCGTTCTCCTTGTCGGCAATACACCTTGGGACGAGCCGACCAAGCGTTCGGCCGAATTTAAGGAATACGTCGAAACCGGAGGGCACACTACCGATGAGCTCTGGAGCAAAATCCCTCCTGAACTCACCAGTCTGTTACGTGGTATGCTGAAAGTCGACCCTAAAGAACGCTTTACCCTCGATGAAATACGCACACACCCCTGGTGTACACGCAAGAACCCATACTTGACAGCGAGTGGACGCAATGCGAATCCAGTGGGACTGGCGACACAGATGTTATCCCAATTACGCATCGATTTCTCAAGACCGCCGACGCAATCCCAACGTGGATGTTCGCAAGATGTAAATGAAGATGGGGATGCCATGGACATCGACACTGATTCAGATCCTCGTCGCTCAAGCGCTGTACATTTCCTTTCTTCAACGCAACCCGAGACTCCATCTGCGGAAACACCTTTCGACTGGGAGCGACCTCCACGTATCGCCTCTTACGACGGAATTTCCGCATCGCAACCTGTCTCGATACCCGATAACCGTCCTATCAATACGAGCTCGACGCCTTATCTATCCCAACTTCCTTCTTCAACACAAGATATGCTCTCTCAAGACCCCTCTATGACACAATTCAGCTCCACCCCTGGCGTCCCTCTGACTTTTACTCAAGCAGCCAGGAAGTTCGCCGACATCCTTCCTTCCTACTCTCTGGCACGTTTCATCTCTCCCCATACTCTCGGCCTTCTTATGCCACTTCTCCTTACCGCTTTGCATCGGCTAGGTGTCCCTGCACCATCCTTTAGTGAAGCGCAGATCGAGGAAGCAGAGACAGCAGGGACAGCTAGTATACGCGTGAAGATGGCAGATGGGCGGAGACAAGGCTTGAATGGCCATATTGTCATCGAGCAAGCAATATATGAAGGGAGTGCGTATTGGGAGGTGAGGTTCGTTAAAGCGAGTGGAGATCCGTTGGAGTGGAGGAGGTTTTTCAAGAACATGGTGCTTTGCGTGGGCGATGTGGTATTGCGGCCCAATTAGATAAGAACAAAGACACATTACGGAGGTAATATGTTGATATACCCTGGGTTGTATAATGATGGGATGGGATCATAGGCGTTGGCTAAGCATTTAATGATATAGGCAGATGGACTGAGAACTGGGCTAGGCTGGCGTGGATATATCTACGGGGCTGTTGGCTATTGACGCTGTATTCTACGGAAGACGATATGACAACAGCATCATGAATACGTGAAACAGTTCACTGCTGGTGGTCGTGTAACAAATCAATCATCTCAGGGAACAACAGTATCCCAAATTATACCATTAGGTAATAACAAGGTATCACTCCATGCCTATGTCAGATGAATAAACGATCCCACATGGCGTTGTTTGCAGAAAGCCCCCCAAGTTTCGCAAAATCTAGTTCTCGCTTTCCAAGAGACAAGAAGCCTTCCTTGGAAAAGCTCGAAATGTGATTCATGGCAGATATCCGCAAATTTCACCATGCGCAGTCGGTATGTAGTCAGCGATGATAACAGCTAAAGGGATTTTCTTTGGCTGTTTACAAATAGCATGCCAGCTCAATGTAACTATATCGTCATGGCACCGAAGACAGCGGCAGCAATGGCAACGACCAAGCTACTCATTCGTACAGTGCTCGCAGCACTTGTATCATCGCCATTTCCGCTTCCGTTACCAGCCCCACTCCCATTCGGCTGATCCTCTGCCTTCAGCTCACCCGCGCCATACGCCTTGAAGCCTCCTGAGATAGAGCTTGCATGTCCAGTAGATCCCTCTACACACTTGCTATCGTCCTGAAAAGCATCCCAAGCTTGCTTCCAAGCAGCATCGGGATCAGCATAGGTTGTCGCAGTGTAGAAAATCTTACAGTCACTGGCTTCGTATATGTACTGTAGAGGCGTACCGGAAGCATCGCCTTTTCGCACTTGATCCTGGGATTGAAGGCGTGAAGCTCCATCTCCGGCGCGTGTGATTATTTGCGGAACATTCGCAACTGCTGATAGAGCATCGTCGTTGGCGGAGTAAGATGATAGGGAGAGTGCAGAACTCATGTTCAACGCGATCTGGGCAAAACTTTGCCAGTAGATTAGTGGTGTTACTTCGCCACCTTTGGACCCGGTCACGGTTTGAATAGGCTTAGTCTCTGGTCGGCCACCAACTGTGACAGCTTTGATGCCGGCGATGTTCTTGAGCTCTTCATGGAAGGAGGCGCAGGATGAGCCGCAAAGAGCGTCGGTATACATGACGATGTTGGATGCATTGAATGGAGTTGGGCGGGTACCATTCACGAAACGCCAACCTTCAGGGAGGATAGACACTTCATCAGTGTACTGTGTTGGTGTTAGCATCGAGTATATTTAAGCTAGAATGGTTTCTGTACTCACATTGTAACGCATCGTCTTTGTGTACGAGTCGTCATTCAACTCAACTGGGCCATTAAAGTCATCCCATCCATCGAAGTCCGCACCATCCGCATTGCGGAAGTGCCACCAGGACCAGTACCTGAATGTATAGCTTTCCTCAATACTTTCTTCAGTATACTGGGCAAACCTTCTAGCTTTGACCTGGTCACTTCTGATCTCGTTGATAGCGTCGCCAATCTTCACAAAGGCATCAGTGGCTCTGTAACGCTGCCCGGAGAAGGGCTCCATCTCCGGAAAAAGCTGCATAAAGGCATCAAGAAGCAGATTAGTGCTACCGCCACCGTTCTCGCGTAAATCGATGATGAGTTTCTGCTTGTTCTCACTCATGCACTTGCTGAGAAATGAAGCAATCGTGACCTGCAGTGTGGAGAATGCAAGGTCAGTGTATGTCTCGCACATATTGAATGCACTAATAACTTACCTGAAACTCGTTGCAGAACTCAGATTCACTCAAGTCCTCGCTAGGGTTACTGAAAGAGATAATCTTGAGAACTGCAACATCGTCGTAACCATCACCATTGAGAAAGTACCCAGCCACTGTTCCACTTGAGTCTTGCTCAACAACATTTTCTGCATAAGATCCAGAAGTAGGTGTCATTGTCTGACGCTTGTTGCGACGGTGGTAGACGCCGGTGGGAATACGGGGAACTGGGCCAGGAGCGCTAGGCGCTATAATATGACTGATACCAGCAGGCATCTTTGGTTTTGGCAGAGCGATGTCAAATGAGCCCGAATCAGCCTTTGTATTGGCAGAGAGGGGCGAGGAGCTGCCGGTGCAGAATCTGTCGAAAAATGACTGTCCATCAGTAACACCTGCGAACATAGATGCATAGTCTGAGGATGCGCCGTTAGGTATGGAAACTGTTGAGCCATTCGCCCATGTGATATCAGTGCTGGGCCCGTCATATCTCCTTTGATTCATAAAACTCCCAAGGTTGTCGGTATCTCCTTTGGACAGCATGTCGTTGATGAGACCGTCGGAATCGATGTATTGTGACCAGGAAGTGGACTTGAGGAAATCGTATGGGTTCTGACCATTGATCTCGGTAATCTCGGAAACGTCTGAACTGCCCTCGGCTACACTCGCAACATCATCAGCCACATAGAGCTTTGGAAGTGCCTTGCCGTCCTCCGAGATGGAAGCCACATTGATCTGTCTGAAGAAGTCGAACACTGTGAGTATATCGGGCCTGTAGTTGAAGTGGAAATTTCCAGTACGGATAGTAATGTTCTGAATAGCTAGTTGAACCGCATATTCACTGGAGAAGGAGTTGAGGTTGTCCTTCACGCTATCCAGTTCTGCTTCGATATCCAGGGGTCCAAATTCCCAATCATCGCCTGGTTTCTTCAACCACACAAGCTCGGATTGGAACTGCCATATCTGCTTCAACTCATCAATAAGCTGTGCGTTTCCTTGGACGTCGACCGGGACGGAATCAAGACAGTCGAAGGCTACCTGTGCTTCGATGGAACTGGATTGCCTTAGATCCGCGGCAGCAGCTGCGCAGGGCTCGGAGGATGAAGATTGTGCTGCGACGAGGGCCGTTGAAGCCAAGAGCAGGGCACTCTTCAGCATAATGACATGCGTGGGCCCCCGAGGGCGATCTTGTCCGAAAAATAATGGAATAGGGTTATTGGACACCACTCGAGCAATAAGCAAAACAAAACACGGAATTCAACAAAGCAGCTGAAGACTGAGGCGGTAGGTGACGCAGTGACGGTAGAGGTCTTAAGAACCCAAGAGCTTGGGTGTCTCATCGGAAGGCAGCAGGATGTCGCCTGCCTCATATAGGACCAAGAAAAGGCGCGCTCTAAGTTGCTTTACCTTCCTCAGTCTAGGCTTTCGGGAGGCCTGAGCCGCAATGAGACGATTGGGATTGGCGCCAGGATCTCCGCAGATGACATCCGCCTTTGAGTTGGCTAGTCTGCTGTTAGGGCTGAAAATCCACAGCCTACCAGACCTCGCTTCCACGCACCGCCCATTCGAAGTTCAAAGCCCATCTGCTGTACTATACAGCACAAGCTACCGCAACACGCATATTGGCGCGCCATTTAGGTCTTGGCTCAAACGCGCATTTGCATCAAGGCGTTTCCTGAGGAAGGTGGACTGGTGTTGCGTAAAAACTGAGGCACGATTGACCGCCAATCAGACCACCAAGCATTACATGCATGAGCTTTTTCTCCATACCAGGTGTCTTTTTGCTGCTGTACAGCAGTAGCGTGCCAAGTGTGGCACAGTGATATGCAGGATTCAGAGTGAGGCGCGGACGAATGCCCAATGGAGAATCGCGTCTGCATGGTTAGACGAGCGACGAGGGGTTATTTTGTTCACCGGTATGGACTATGACTGATTACTGTTTCTATAAAAGTTATGGCGAGCAATAAGAGTAGTTGGGATTTGTGCAAATGTGCTGCGTTCCGGTATTGCGAGTGATGGATGAAGGTTGCTGTCCTGTAACAGAGGATCCCCCCTGAGGTCATGCCAAGCCTTTCGCGTGTGAGAAGTGTATCTTACGTCTCGCACGCACGTCAGACTACATTTTGACATACCCTGATTCGAGAACATAACGATACACTGCGCCTTGTGACAAGAGGCGCCCTTGCGAAGTAAGGGCGTGAGTGCTCTACATTCAGGTACAATAACACCTTGAGAGCCTATGTAGGTAGCCCGAAAGTCATTCTATACTAATCAAACCATCTGACGCTAATATCGATCTTCCGCCGGTCAGCGCAAGCTATGGAACAGGCAATCCATATGGCTTGATGACTGAGGCTATTTCAAGCTGTGCAAAATAGATCTCAGGCTACAGGCTCCATACGTTGCCTTGGCAGGTGATCCTAGGATTAGGCCACCAGAGATCAGCCCTAGACTCAGCCCGTCTGTCCTAGATAAATGTGTGACGGACCAAGTAGACATCAACATGGGCTTTGGCCCCCAACTACAACGCCATTTCATGGGCTCTAGGAAATTGAGTAGCTTGCTGGAACAGCTGACCTAATAATCATATACCAGACTGGACAGACCTTGTGATATAGCCATAATCCAAGGGTGTGCTAGAACGTCATCAAGACTAAGACGCTTCGCCGCATCGGGGTTCAGCAAACGCAGCCAAGTCAGAGCATACCCTTAATCGGCGCATCTGTCATGCTGGGTGTGTAGCACTTACTTCGACGAACCGACTCTTCTGCCCGCTTACTGATATACTTCGAGAATCCGGTTCCTTTGCCTTTGAAGATCACAGTCTTTGTCCACGTACTTCTTGATATCTTTCATTCCGAATAGCGATCTTCCCACGAGCAGCTTGTACATCAACGCCCCTCAATTCCACTGATCGATTGCCTTGATATGCCTTCCTCCGATCGTACCGGGCTTCAGGACCGTGGCCGCGACCTTGGGGCTTAGATGACCCAGTGTGCTGCAAACGGTAGATTAGGATCTCGACTCTGTGTGTACAGAGTATTCGAGATCGATAAGCTTAACCTCGCTGTGAAAGCCAAGGAGTACGTTTTCGGGCTTGACATCACGGTGCGTAATGTTCTGACCATGCGGTTAGTGGTGTGCGGAGGTGAATTGAGTGATTTATACGGAGGTATGCTGTTCAGTGAATCGGCCTTTTGTTTGTTTCTTAATGTTCGAGTATAGGCTAGGAAAGCCGCTGTACTGTTTCCGAGGCGTTCTCGTCCATCCGCCATCTTACTCCTCGTTTCTCGCTTTGTGACGTTCGATTAGCTGTTTGATTGGAGGGTACTGAACCTTGCTTTCGTCCTTTACATCTATTCCCTTATCAGTGAAAAACGAGAAGTAGGTAAGAGAAGCGACTATCTATCGATTACTTCAAGTCTGCAAGAGCAGAATGGGCTCCCTTAGTGATTGAGACGTTTGCGTCTACGACGTGCTGTATAGGCGCCACTTTGTTCATTAGCGATGTATGTTTGGGCTGCGTGCGGCCGAATGGTGTTGTTTTGAAGACGTGGCTGTAGCAAATTTCAAAGTCAGAGTGTGTGCATGAAAAAGTCACATATAATGCTACGCTCTATCACTCTCATCGATCTGGTCTCAGTCCCGTTTGTTCCTCGTCACCAATGTGAACGCGGGTCTCAGTATTCACAACACCGACCGTCACAACAAACGCCCAACACATATTGATACCAGTATCAACGCTGCCACACAACTGTCACTACCTTTTGTATCTTCATCTTGCTAAGTTTAGATTTAAATACGTGAGCTCTCTTAAGTTGTTCATCAAGAATCGAACCCGATTTGGCATTCTTGGGCATTAGCCCACTCAGCTCTGCTAGATCAAGGTCGCCGATTCGATTCCTGAAGACAGAAGGGAGACTGAGCAGACGCCCAGATTCGCCGGGTCGCACAACGAACGTCTGGCGAAAGAGAATAAGGAGTCCGTCACCATGGGTCGCGTGTGAGGGGCGCCCATCAGAGTTCTGTCTTGGTAAGTTTTTTTGTTAACCACTCTCCTTCTGTAGCTTCTTTGTAAGGCGCTCGCTTGTGTATACAAATATAGCGCCAAGCTTGCGTAGAGTGCGGCCCTCTGCTACTTCGTTCCTTTTTCTCGCTTGTACATGCTAGAAACAGCAGTGTAGCTCGAATAACGTAGGATATAAAGCATACATATCGGCGTTCACAGAACCGTAGAGGACTGTCTCTTAGTAGAGCAAATTTCGGGCGTCATCAAGGTGTCAGGCCCAGGCGCTGCTCAACCACTTCCACAATCTCCCTCCAGTCTTTCATTGCGCCGCCTCCGATATCTCCGCACGCCAACTCTTTCTCCATGGGCTGCAGCACCTCGAACCAGCCCCCGTTCTTCACACCCCACTCTTCCTCCAGTACCAGCACCTGCTTCTTCGTGATAGGCTGAAACCACATGGCAGTATTCATGCTTGGTGCGACTAATATCCTCTTTCTCTGTATGCCACCTTCATCTTGCGGCCATTGCACGCCAGGTATGCTCCTTACCGGATCGATCAGACCGGTGGTATCCCACGCGCGTACAACAGATAGCAGAAGGTTTTCCGATAAGCCTTGTGTTATCTTAGCGAGCTCGTTGGCGCTCAATGGTGCAATGACCATAATGTCTGCCCATCGCCGTAGCTCAATATGAAGGATCTTGTTGCCTCGTACCCATGGTGCCCTCCACTCGTCTTCGTCAAAGTATATTCCGTCTACATTCGGCAGGGCTTCTATATCTTCCATGGAAGGCTGTTCGCCGCTCTGTCCCTGCAGGAAGCTGGTCGCCGCAGCCGTGAATATGAGTCGAATCCGTACATTCGCATGTTTCGCTAACGCGTTGATCATGTTTGGTATCTTGATGGTCGCAACCGACCCTGACGCGCAGAGAAGGATGTGGATCTTGTCATCGTGGTGATGGAAGTCGAAAGGGTCTGTCTTGGGAGGGTCGTGGACCTGATGTTGGACAGGTCTAATGTTGAGCGGCTTGAGGTCGTGTACTTGAGCGGTCATGTTGTGTTACCTTTAACAGGTCGTCACTAAGTGTCAGTGTCTAACTAAGAAATCTGAGCGAGATGTCTGAGATCTAGACATTGTCCCACTGTTGAGTGTGGCGGCGGCGTTACGAACGCGGTTCGCCATAGTGGGGGAGGGAGATGTGGTGTCGTGAAGTTTGACGGACGCTAATCCGCTTGTCGGATGGTTCGCGGGAAGTGCCCGGCAGCTGCGCAGTCAGCGACACTTCAGTCGACCCTTCTCGAATTTCAACGTCGAGCCACACAAGACATAGCGTGTAACACATTCCGAAAGCCTTGGGCTTCTCATTCTGACTCTGTCCTCATCCAGCCACAGTAGATCACCACTCGAACGGAGTACCGGCGCCTTATCTCCGTATCACTCCGTCCCACTTTGGTACACCAGATAATCTTCACCATGTCGTGCAGTCAGCCCAATCGTCGGCGTGATCTGTTCGTAGAAATCTTCATAGAGGCTCAAACTTCACATTCGAGCTGCATGTGCAGTGCTGGGCAGTATCTGTGTCAACGAATAGGTATGATTTCATCAATAGCGGGGTTAAGGAGTTAACGGCGGGGTCGTCCGTCATTATGTGTGGAGTGCCAGCGTCATTGCGATGATGGGTACGCGCCAGGTGCTCAAAGATCAAGCTCATCCGACTTGGTCCGTCCAGAACCTACATCTCCAACAACTAACAATCTCTCTCGGTCGAAGTTCTGCAGCAGCTTGTCTTATATCCGCCGGAAGACACTACCCCCGTCGATACTCAGCAGATCGAACCACAATAACATAAATAACGACAACTTCACTTGCAAAAACCAACTATCACAATCACCAACACTACTCAGTACCAACGAGAATACAAGCTTCACGATTTCTATAATGTCTCTGCTCACTGCACCTCTCGGTCGCGATGGCCCCCAAGTCACCCGCCTGGGTTTCGGCCTCATGGGCCTGTCCGCCTTCTATGGTCAGCCCAAACCCGACTCTGAGCGTCTAGCGCTGCTTGACAGAGCTCATGAGCTAGGCGAACGTTTCTGGGACTCTTCAGACATGTACGATGGTCGCAATTGCAGGCCCAGCAACAGCTTACAAGTGCTTTAGGTACGGCGACAACGAAGACTTGATTGGGAAGTGGTTCAAGGCCAACCCCGACAAGCGCAATGATATCTTCCTAGCAACCAAATTCGCGGTCAAGAACATGGGCGCCGAGATCGACTCTTCTCCAGAATACGTCAAGGAGGCCGTCGAGAAGTCTCTGCAACGGCTCGGGATTGAACAGATCGATCTTTACTACTGCCACCGTGTTGACCAGAAGACGCCCATCGAACTCACTGTGCAAGCCATGGCTGACCTTGTCAATCTCAAGAAAGTAAAGTACCTTGGTCTTTCAGAAGTCAGCGCCGAGACGTTGCGAAGAGCGCACAAAGTTCATCCTATCTCTGCTGTACAGGTTGAATACTCTCCTTTTGCCCTGGAAATTGAGAGCAAGCAAATCGACCTACTGAAGACATGCCGTGAGCTAGGTGTGGCCGTGGTTGCCTACTCGCCTCTAAACCGCGGTATGCTGAGTGGTGCCCTCAAGGGCCCAGAGGACTTTGAAGAAAGCGATTTCCGTCGATTCGCGCCTCGTTTCAGTGCTGAGAACTTTCCCAAGAACCTCAAGCTTGTGGAGCAGATCACCGAGGTTGCAAAGGCCAAAGGCGTCACTCCCAGCCAATTGACTTTGGCGTGGTTGATGGCGCAGGGTGAGGACATTTTCCCTATCCCAGGCACGACTAAGGCTGCGCGCCTGGAAGAGAATGTGGGAAGTTTGAAGGTTGAAGTGAGTAAAGAGGAGGAACAAAAGATTCGCAAGTCATGTGAAGGTAAGTGTGCCTGTGCGGACTGCATGTGAGACATAGGCTGACTTTGTGCGCCCCCGTTTAGAGGTGGAGGTTAGTGGTGGACGCTACCCTGAGAGCTTCATGAAGTCGTGCTATGCCGATACGCCGTCACTTGAGCAGTACCGAGATGGTGGTGCAGGCTCGGATGGGAGTGGAGGTGACGGAAAACCGACCAGGACAGCGGATATCATTGGCGGGTCGTAGAGCATCATGTTGGACGAGAAGGAGCGGATGATGCAGACAAGGGAGGAAAAGACAGGCAAAATTACAATCTGACTCAACTCTCTACAATGTCCCCACAGCACACCGTGATTGCCCACAACATGTGTTTACTCCGTGCAGGTGTGTGGTGGAGTCGGGCGCGCCGGCGCTAGCTGCGTTCGACGGCTGCTGGGATGTTACCGCTTTGGGACAAGAGAATCCCTGGCAGCGGTGGAGGGAGGGCATGGCGCGATTTCAGCGCTGACCTCACACCCGAGTCAACTTTCCACCATCTAGACATCCTCGCATCCACGCCCAAGACGGCCCCTCGCATCCATAGAGAGATAGTGAGACAGGGCAGTGCATCCACCTGCGAGGCCATTGGCCCTCGACGCATCTAGCAAGAGAGCATCGTAACCTCGCGCACACGTCAACCTTGGTCCAGCGCAGCCATGGGCTTCATCACCGGCTTCGTAGGTGCTACCGGCCCCTTGCAGTGATGCCAGCTAACCCAAGACAGCTCGGGGGCGTCACCCTCACCACGGGCGTTCTCTACCTCACCATCTCGCTGCACACACAAAACCGCATAACACAGGCCGCGCTCCTAAGACAGCAACGCCAAGTCCTTACCGAGTTCTACGAGCCCAAGAAGCCGGAGCCAGAGCCCACAAGTCGGGAAGTGCCGGTTGGTCTAGCTGAAATGGCCAAGGACAGGTGGAACAGGAGCCTCGAGGAGGGCGTGAAGAAGGTGTACACGACAGATTGGAGGAGAGTACGCGAAGAGGCCGAGGACAGGGCAAGCGCCATACTGCAGAAGATCAGGGAGGGCAGCAAGTAAGCGTTTGCCCGCGCGCGTGTAGATTAGAAGCATGTGAAGGTGGCGCGATAGCACGGCTGCGACGATACCCTTCCTGCGACTGTACAAATATCTGGGGCTTGCAATTGGATCCGCAAAGGTTCACGTCTCCGCACTATCTGTTCCTATTGTTCGTTTGCGTTTGCATGGCCACACTACGCGTCTGCCTAGCCCTCCTCCCACCTAACAACATCAAGTCAGTCATAATTTCGTCTCCAACAACACCGCACATGCCTGCGCAAACATAGCATCTCATGGCAAGGTCCTCGATCTGTTCGACGACCGCTACCTGGAATTGCAGGACGTCATTGGCAACGTTGAGCCGCTGCCCACACTCGTGCCTTATGAGCAGTACAAGCAACACGCCATCGTCTACCGCATGGACACGAACCATGACATCTTCATGGCGCTTCTGCAGGAATTCACAGAGCGCAAGTCACTGGAGACGGGCAAAGAGCTGTGGACGTGGTGCGTGCAATGGCAGGTTGATGAAACCGCTACTCGCCAGCCAGCCGTAGCACCACACTCACCCAAGAAGCCTCGTATCGATCCGAGACAGCCGAACAGTCCTACTATGCAGCCATCTTTAGGTCGTGGCGCGCCCCCAATAACCGCCCAAGTTCGCAGAATCGATCCCGAGCTGATGCATCAGGAGGATATGCTGCGTATATTGGTCGACATCGTCCAGGTCAACAGCACTGTGGTGCCAAATTTTATCGAGTTTCTATACCGATGGATCGACTTCTACGAGGGAGATGGAAAGGCCTTGAACGCGGCTCTGTATGGAGAAATTCCAAGCTTATGGGACTTTGAATATCATCCGATTCTTGTTCCTGAGGACGTTAAAAAGAAATTAGACGAGGCAAACAGTATCACAAGAGACGGGAAGGAATATGGAACAGGAATCAAGACACCAAAACACGCCAACGCAGAAGAGCTCGCTCAAAATTCGCCCACCAAGAAGATGCGTCAAAAGCCCGATTTGGCGACATTTGAGCGTAAGTTGGAAGAAAGTGAGCGTCTACAGTATCACGAAGTACATTTCGGCATACAGCCTCCGAAGCTCAACGAGCCTCTGCCGCCTCTTATCAATATTCCTCGGGACCGGGTCAAACGAGCGAAGTACCACGCTGCTTGCTTCAAATCACGCCAACGCGCCCTTTACCTGCTCATGGAAGCTGGGGTTACTCCGCAACAGTTGAAAGATTACAAGAGGTGTCAGACAATGAGTCTGAAAGACACGCCATCGCGCGAGGGAGCACATGGCCTCGAAAACTACGAGAAAGATGCGAACCTTGCGCAGATGATTCATTCAGCCAAAGAGAAACAGAGAGTAAAGCAGATGGAAATTGCCATCAGCAACAAGTTGGCACACGAGGCTCAGCTTGCTGGTCACAGCACTATTTCCGCAGGTTCGTCTGGTGTGCCTCTCATCCCTATCATGCCCCCAACCATTCACAGTCTGGATATAGCTGGCCAAATATCACGTGAGATTCAGCAGACTAAGGATGAGAGAAATCAGAAGATCAACATCGTTCCTGTACCACTTGTGGCTAAGATGAAAAGCCTGCTTTTCAAAGGCGCAATGGACAGAGCAGCCTTACTAGAGATATGCGGGCCTGATGGGCGGTTAGCAAGCCCACCTTCTTCTGTCGATACTGATGGCCATGGGTCGAAGAACGAAGATGAAGGCAATGGGAGCACCGATGGAGACTCAAATGATGACATCAGTGCCTCTGGGGACGGATTGTGTACACTACCTAGACCAGTACTACCGCCGGTCTCAACGCTCCCTCTTCCAAATCTACCACCGCCATCGCGTCCACCTCCAGTAATGATGTCCAGTCAACCTCGAAGCTCTTTTGACTTCAATCCTTCGTTTTTCTTGCAGCAACAATATCCATCCGGGCACAGTGGTCCGTCTACCTCTGGTCCTGCTCCCCCAAGAGTGTCGTACCAGGAAATTATGGCTGCGAACAGTGCTAGAATCCAACAAAATGTCCTGGGTGGACAGGTAAGTGTGCAAGGTCCTCAATCTACCAGCAACACTAGATGCGATGCTTCGAACATGATCCAAAGAGCATCCGATCCACCCACGGAGACCGGGCAAGCTTCTTATCCTCGACCATCTGTTCTGATAGCATCTCGATCTTCAAACATAACTGTGCCACCACCACCCGGATTTGAACACGATGGTCCTTTTATCTCTGGAAACATGCCCCCTCCGCTCGGACCTCCACCGCCGCCGCCGGCGGCCTACCCCTCTACTAAACCTCAATCTGATACTTACAGCTCAAATCTGCCTCAACGAATTCAGACATCACCGTCTTATCCGGTTGGATCTGAATTCTCTACTCCTGCGCCACCACCAAATTTCGCGCAGCGCCTTCTAGCCCTGGGTCATGCTACTAGCCTTCATCAGGGACTTCGTAATACTGGGCCGACATTACTACGAGAACCAGACATGTCAGCTCCTAACAGCCCAGGTAGTCAGTACAGATCAGCTCAAGAGCGTCAACAGTGCTCTCGTACGCTCTCTTTACTTGATTTTCCCTGCTCGCTCCCTCCCCACGCCAGTATGCAGCGTATCACTCCATCCCCACTCACACTTCGACCACCGCCCTCTCCACTTTCGTCCCTAGCACCAAGCTTGCTAGCCACCTCGCCTTTTACCACCTCTCATAATGGCATTCCAGTTCAGATCTTTTTGCCCAGAATCCTCATCCCCTCTAACACCATTGGTCCAGGCGGAATGAAACTAGGCAACAGTGGCTGTGCCGAAACAGATGCTTTTCTTCTCGGATATACGCACCCTATAAGCGGGAAAATCACTCTTAGTCGCGCCGTCTTCTTACCTTTGGGTGTGTGGATCAATGCGCAGGATAGGGTGCGAAAAGGCAAGTACAAAGTATTGGAGAGCTACATAGCACCGAAGAGAGATACTTCAGTCTCACATCGTGCTGTTTACGAGAGGGTGAGACAGGCTTATGATCTTATGAAGACGGGATCGCCGGCAGCGAGAGAGTGGGAATTGACGAAGAGGTGGAGGGCTAGTAGGGGGAGGATGAAGGAGACCCAGAGAGGTGCGGTCTGGGAAGGTTGGGCTGTGGATGTTGATAGGGAGATTGCGATGAGTAAGGAGGATAGGACGGGTGCGTTTGTGCAAGATGCGTTGATCGATGGAATTGATGAAGATAGCGAGGAAGTCAGAAGGAGGAAGGAGATTGACGAATTGCTTGAGACAGACGAAGCATGGGATTATGGAGAGGATGAGGATGTGCATATGCACGGCTAGGATCGAGTAGATGGGGTGTGACGGCATTCAAAAGCTTCATTCAGGGCGGAAGTCTGTCATAATGATTTTCCTGAACTAACTTTTGTAGCAAGGGTAGATTAGATACACCGCCCACCATCCACTTCGAGATTGACCCCAGTGATGAACCCTGCCTCCTTACTTGCCATGAATATACACGCATTCACCACATCGTCTACTTCCCCAATCCTGCCCATAGGTACATTAGACGTAAACTTCGTCCTGTTTTCCGGCGTATCTTCCATTCCGGTAAAAGCAGAGAAGAGACCTGTCCCTGTAACGAGGGGGCAAATGGATACGACGCGGATCTGATGTGGACCGTATTCTGCTGCAAGTCCTTTTGTCGCCTGAATGGAATGTGAGTAAATAGAACACTCATGCAGATTGGAGCCACTATAAGAAGACATGACTCACGTTCCATATCGCGCCTTTACTCGCATTGTACCACACCAATCCTGGTCTTGGCCGCGTAGCCCCAACACTGGCAATATTGATGATCACACCTCCTTCTTTACGCTCAATAGCTTGATCTACCCAAGCATTGCAGCCCAGATATACACCTTTAACGTTGACGTCAAAGACCTTTTCGAATTCATCTTCGGTGACAGTCGTGGTAGGTTTGTTAGTATAACTCCAACCTGCGTTATTCACGAGAATATCACAGCGGCCAAATCTCTCGATACAGGCTGAGATGGTGGCTTTCCAGTCTGAGGTTTTGGTAACATCCATTTGGTGAAAAGCAAGGGAGGAGGGATTTGTTGCTGCAGTTGCTTCCCCACCAGATTTATTGATGTCGCAGACAAGGACTTTGGCTCCTTCGGAGGCCATTCCTTTTGAAATACCAGCGCCGAAGCCTGAGCCGCCACCTGTTGAGGTTGTTAGTGAGTTATGAGAGACGAGACAGAGGATGCGATGTACCAGTTACGATGGCGACTTTGCCGTCTAGTCTACCCATGACGAGAGCTCTGGCGCCTGCGATTCACAATGAGTTATGTTTAATCGACCACGATTTCGAACTACCAGCGCCAATGTCGATTGTCGGATAGGCAGCAACGGTGTTGATGTTGTGACTGCGAGAAGGACAGTACGGTCTTGCCCACCATTTCATGCACCCTGCTGTCTGCCACCGGTATCGCATCTCCAATCACAGTCTGCCGACTAGTCGTTTCCAAGGTTCCAGCACAGCACAACAGTGAGGGGTAAGCGTGATGCCCCGCATGATGTTGACATCGTTTTGGAGGACCACCGAGATTTGAACCAATTGGAAGTCATCTACCCCGATAGCTCCTCTGTGTCCAGCGTCTCTGGCGTCCCTCCGGATCACCTTTATTGGAATAGCCGAGTGTAACAGCTAATCAACAAATCGGTCATGTAGGCTATATGATGAAAGGTGGGGAAGCTTTTGGTGTCTGCAGATGCCTTTGTTGATGATCGCGGAATCGGCGCGCCCTCCGCTCGAACATCACGACTCCTCGTTACTAGAGCACACTGCTTTGCGCTGATTATCTTCGGCTGCCGATACGTATCTCTCGATACGACCAGTTTCTAGGCCTATAGAATACGCAGACAAGACTCTGACCAATAGGAACATGGCTGTGGACAGCAAACATCAGCTCCCGTTTAAGGTGTGTACAGACTACTCAATGGTTTCTCATATTGTACTGATACGTTCAAGCTCAAAAATCCGAATTTGATACACAACCTATCCTTTGTGGATGGTAGCTGGGTACGAGCGAAATCAGGAAAGACATTTGAAGTAGTTGGTCTGTCACTGGAGCGCATTTGAAGACTCCGATCTAACAAGCCGATAGACCCTGGAACTGGGAAGCCGTGGATCGAGTGTCCTACAAACGATGCATCAGATGTAGACAATGCTGTCAAAAGCTCACACGAGTGTTTCAAGAATTACAAGAAGATCAGCCCTCGACAACGGGCGCAGATGCTCTACCGATGGGACGCTCTCATCAAAGAGAACAGGGATGATATAGCGACTATCCTTGTGTACGAAACCGGTAAACCCATATCTGAGGCGTATGGAGAGATTGACTATTCGACGGGCTTCACATGGTGGTTTGCTGGAGAAGCAGAACGTATACAGGGCAGTGTTTTCACTCCTGCACTACCAAACAGACGCATCTTCACAATCAAGCAGCCACTCGGCGTTGCTGCTGCGTTGGTACCATGGAACTTTCCCATCGCGATGGTTCTTCGCAAAGCTGGTGCCGCATTGGCTGCGGGCTGTACAATGATCGTAAAGCCCAGCCCAGAGACACCAATCACTATACTCACGCTTGCGTATCTCGCGCAAGAAGCTGGATTCCCCAAGGGAGCTTTGAATGTCCTGACTACTGATCTTGATAAGACACCAGAACTCAGTGAAGCACTCTGTCGGCATCCACTTGTCAGTAAAGTCACCTTTACAGGCTCTACACGCGTTGGCAAGCTAGTTGCTAAGATGTGTGCTGATAATCTGAAGAAAGTTACACTGGAGCTGGGAGGCAACTGTCCTGTTCTGATCTTTGACGATGCAAACATTGAACAGGCTATGACCCAGATCTTCGCACTGAAATATCGACACGCGGGTCAAGCTTGTATCACTGCGAACCGAATATACGTTCAATCTGGTATTTTCGACAAGTTCCTCGAACGCTGGAATGAAGAGACGCAAAAGATCGTTGTCGGCCACGGTTCAGATGAGAAGACCACGATGGGACCAGTGACGACCCCAAGAGGCGTCGAAAAAGCGCTCGCGCTTGTTGAAGATGCGAAGAAAAAAGGCGCGAAAATCCACACGGGTGGAAACAAGATCAAGAAAGATGGCGGCTACTTCTTCGAGCCTACTGTCATTACCGGCGTTACCTCAGACATGGATATTGCCAATGAAGAGGCTTTTGCCCCGATTAGCACATTCATCAGGTTTGATACTGAAGACGAAGCGGTAAGGGAGGCCAATGATACCAGCATGGGTCTTGCTTCCTACTGCTTCACAAAGAACGTTGATCGTACGTGGAGACTATTCGAGAATCTGGAGGCTGGCATGATTGGCCTGAATACAGTAAGTCAGGCGCGAAGGCATTGCGTTAATGTACTAATGCATTCTAGGGCAACTCTTCCGCTGCAGAGTCGCCATTTGGGGGCATCAAGCAATCTGGCTATGGCAAGGAGTCTGGGAAGGATGTCGCTGTGAACGAGTATCTGATTACGAAGACTGGCACTTTTACGCTAGAGGAGCAGTAGTTGTGAGTTAGTAGCTGGTTTTGAAGGATGATGTCTGTCTCGGACGCATGCACTGGCTTCCACGTATGCCGTGACCATTGGGCGTGATTTTGATGTATAAACGATTGTTAGTGACGAAGGACAATGGCGCACAGTCGTGTTGTCGGGCACTCCAGTCCTGCACGTGATCACGTTAGTGCCCGCGCTTTGGAGCTTACCAGCGGCGCGCGCTGCTCTCGAAGTTGCACCAACAACGTCGCCCAATTGCCAAAACCTCTTTGTTAAACTTCGCCGCCATGGATGACACTGACATGACCGATGTCGCCTACGATATTGACATTGATGTAGGCGAAGACATAGCACCGGCAGCACAAGCGTCGCAACCACAGCAGGTTGTCCAAGTGAGCAATGCGCAAGGCTGCACAACAAAGAGCGCAGTTGACTGACATGCGCACGGCAGAACAACGCGGCCGAAGCAGAGCGAAGCGTGCCCGCGGCCTACACCGAGGACATTATTGTACACGAGCCATGGCCGGAATCCCTCAACCTCCAGGGCGTGAGCGACTTCGACCCCAACGATCCGCTCTACTGGGCTATGGAGCATTGTCAGTCAGACCCGCGCGTCAAGCAGCTGCGCTGGGTCAACGACAACTCGGTCAACCTCGAGTTCTACAACAAAGAAGACGCGACGCTTGCCCTGACCATCCTCACACACCCCGACAACGGTGACTTCAGCAACGTCTCCATGCAAGAGCCCCGGAAGGCGAAACCGTACTCGAAGAAGCCGGACAGCGTGCTCATGGTCAGGCAGTCCAACGCCGGGGATCAGAAGCCGAGGGGCGCGGCCACTAGGAGCAACTACTACCAGCGCAACCCCGATGTCGCTGGCAACCGCCAGAGGGAGCCACGGCGAAAGCCGCCTCCGAAGAAAGACTATCTGGATTACGGCGATGAGGAAATGGCATCTGGTGAGCGACCAAGGCGGAGAAATAGTGGAGATGAGTCCATGGGCGATTCGGGCCTTGACCAGAGGGGCCCGCGCCGGAACGGACGAGACTTTCGCGACGACCGCGACGGGCGAGACAACCGGGGTCGCGGCAGGGGGGGCCGTCAACCAGCTTCAGGCAGGCTCAGGAACGATGCCCAGGGCCAAGACGTCGACTCGTACCGACCAGGCTCAAGAAGGTACGTCAGCACATTTCCTTCCATGGCTGACCAGCAGGCTAATAGTCCCAGTCCGGCAGAGCCACGCTTTGGTCGCCTGCGAGGACGCAGTGCCTCCCCGGCCTCTGACGAAGAAGGCGACGGCCGATTCGGGTTTGCCGAGCACGAAACGCATGCAGGCCGTCGGCGGTACCGCAGCCGAAGTCGTAGCCGTAACAACCGCCGTCGTCGCGAACCCAGCCTGGATCGTTGGACGCACGACCGTGCCAACTACGATCGTCAGAATGGCCCTACAGCTGGCGGACGTTGGCAGAAGGACGCTTTCTTTGTTGACACTTCACCAATGGGCAACCACCATCGGTCAAACGCTATAGACGTATCCAAGACACGAGGAGGCGGGGAATCGCTACTTTCGCGCATGACCAAGAACGGACAGCCCGTGCTACCGCAGCCGAAGCGATCGCTAGCTGACAGGATTACACGCGATGATGATGAGCCCGAAGAGTTGTTTGGCCGCCTAAAAGGTGACGACCGTGATCCTCATGTTACCGACTTCTCGGAGCCATCACGGTCTCGTCGCGGTCTGGCAGATCGTATCACGCGCGACGGCGACATCAACATTCGCGGTCAAGGACGAAACCGGAGCCAAGAAGGCATTAACATCCGCGGCTCCGCTGAGCGAAGCGGAGGAGGCGGTATCAATATACGTGGTGTGGCAAGCGGTGCCTAGAATGCTTCCGCTACTGAGAGAGATGGACGCGGAACAATGAGAAATCATTCGTCTCCCCAAACTGGCAGAAATTTAGATACTATTCTGATTTGTCGCCGTCGCAGCTTTGGAATCATCATGGAGGATCCCGAGTTTTGAGCAGAGATTGGACATAATTAACATGGCAGCCCACGGGTGGCTAATCAAGCGGGCCTGAATGAAGTTGCTTACTACTCTACTCTACTGTACAATTTTCTTACCTTGTCTTGCATCCTACAGCGGAGTGGCATCCACTCAAAAGCGTCACCAAAACTGCAAGGCTCTTTTGCTTATGGCAAGCTGAAGGTTCAAAGCTTAATCGAGATACCAGTCCATGATAATCATTCTAGACATATTTTGCCATTCCTTCCGCTTCGTGACTTGTGGGTGAGTGATGTTTCTATGACTTCTCAGACAAGCGATGTAAAGATACTCAATACCAGTCTAGCACGGAGCTACAAAAAGGCTGCCAAGACTCGCACGATTCATTAGAAACGGATTGGAAAGAGAAGCTGGAGCGCAATTCACATTGAGTGCAATGGAAATGATCAAGAATTGTACACACAACGGTCGTCGCTGTTACAACCACATGCACACCTAAAACCTAGCCTCAACCTTTTGTTCTGTATCTTGTAATGCCCATTGACTCCTCGCCTTCTTGCTCCTGACAGCTTCAACCTGCTCCTTTGTGAAGCCCTTCGCGACAGTCGCTGGGTTGTATCCTAGTCCTGTAATCTTGCCAATCTGCTCATCTGACTTATCCGTCGCAGCGCTTCCATCGTGCCTCTTGTAGACTGTGCAGACTACCGCGCCCCCGAGACCCAGGTTGTGTTGTAAAGCCACCTTGGTGTCCTTGACTGAGCGATTGTTAGCCCAGCCGCGCATGTGCCAAACCAATTCTGCGCATTGGGCGAGACCCGTGGCACCTAGAGGATGGCCCTTGGAGATCAGACCGCCAGAGGGGTTAATGACAACCTTTCCACCATAGGTTATGCCGCCCTTGCGGATCAGCTCATGGGCTTTTCCTTTGGGAGCCAAGCCGAGGGCTTCGATGGTAACCATCTCGTTGGCAGAGAAGCAGTCGTGGAGTTCGCACACCTTGACATCGTCTGGCGATACGCTGGCCTCCTCGAGTGCTTCACGGGCAGCCAATTCACTCATGCTGTATCCTACTAGTTCAATTGCGCTTCGGTTGAACAGTGACGGTGTGTCGGTTGCGAGTCTTTGTCCAGCAATTAGGATAGCCTGGTCCTTGAGCTCGGGACGCTTGTCGAGAAACTCCTGCGAGACAAGGACTGTGGCAGCAGCTCCATCCGAGGTCGGGCAGCATTGAAGCTTTGTGAGGGGTTCGTGAATCATGGGTGCATTCATGACTTGTTCGAGGGTGTATTCGTCTTGGAATTGCGAGTAGGGGTTGTTCTTGGAGTGCGCGTGGTTGATGCGACCGATTTCTGCAAAGTCTTTGAGTTCAGAGCCGTATCTATGGAAGCGGTCAGAATGGTTTGGATGTGACTTGTACGTGTGGCGCATGTCTGAACTCACTTCTCCATGTGCTCCCGTCCAGCGTTTCCGAACATCTGGGCGGCACCAGGGGCCTTGGTAATGCCTCTCGTCTCTTTCATCATTAAACTTGACGTGCCTGTCGGGTTTGCGCGATCTTGGAAGAAGGTCTGCAGCGACCCTGGGAACATCTTCTCAAAGCCCACTAGATATGGGTGTGCGCAGTCAGTGCATGCCTCACATACAGTTTGTACAGGGACACTTACCGACCAAGACGCAGTCGGCCGCTCCATGCGCAATCATGTTTCGTCCCATGTACAGGCCTGTTGAGCCAGTCGAGCAGTTGTTGTTGACATTGTATACTGGAATGCCAGTCATGCCAAACTGGTAGAAGACGCGCTGACCGCAAGTTGAGTCGCCATAGCAGTAGCATGCGACACCTTGGTCGACGTCGTCGTAGTTGATGTGCGCGTCGAGCATGGCTTTGACACCTGCTTCAAACCCGAGTTCGGGATAGTCCACCTTGCCACGAGGTTTGATGAACTTGGTCATGCCCACGCCGAGGACGTAGACGGGCTGCTTCTTGCCGACCATGATGGCGGTTGTGAGGTAGGAAGGGCAAGGCGTGTAGAAGCTCTAGCAGTGAAGGAGCGCAAGTAGGATTGAAAGGAAAGAGCAGCACGTTGCAGCTATGTTGGCTCTTGGTCGATGAGTATGCTGGACAACCGAGAGACGCGCTCCATGATAATGTATGTAGCGCGACGGTTGTCCCCGCACCTGCAGCACCTTTGGCGTGTGGAGATGCCGAGGTGCGATTCGTGAACGGCAAGGCGGGTCAGAATAGCCGGATCCTCCGCGTGGGGAAGCCTGCAACACGACGCATCTGACACCAGACAACCATCATGCAGTCTCAGCAAACTCCTCGGTATGTAAGCTAGAAGAGATGGCCTGTTGTGTAAGTAACGAGCCACTGTGGTTCGGCTTACGCTGAGTATGGCGCAGAAAGCAGAGTTGTGTAGTACATGCGACACTGACACTCCATAATCTAGTTAGGCACTTGCTGGACAGACCGATGGTTAGACCTCTATGCGATAGATGTAGAACAACACAAACAACAACTTGGACTAAACTTGCACGACGGTAGTCGACAGTACGCCTTAAAATCAGAGAAATGTCTCGACACGTTTGGCCTTCCAATACGCTATCTACGTAGCACTTCACTCACCCTGATCATCTTAGCACATGAATACAAGCATATATGTCAGATACACGCAAAGTACAATAACTTGGCTTCACAACGATCTTGGTGGAATCAATCACGTCTTCACGCAGAACTAGTGCTTGGAGTATGTATAGTGCCCTACCATGTCCTTTGATATTGCTCTCATCAAAAGGCAGGAGTCAATTCAATACGAGGTGAGTAACCTCGGGAGCCTTCTAGATTGAATTACATTTCTCAAAGATCCGTACCCGCAGTCGGAAACTCCCGAGGTCATCTTTACCGGCCGATGTGGTCTTACTGGAGAGAAGTTCGGAATTTTTCTAGTCAATATGATTATTATATTTCTCTTGCACAAGCACATACGACCACAGGATCTTGAGACCACGGCTTCCCGTTCGCTCAGCCCTAGTTAAGCAAGATACCGGCGGATTAGTAGTCAGGTGGGTGACCACTGGCGAATCCCCGCTGTTGTATGTTTTTTGTTTCTTTCGAAAGAAAATCATTAGGCCGAAAATAGGCGTACTTGTTATTCTTTGGTCTTCCCGCAGATGCTGTTTCGCATGGTCGAACTTCTTTGACGTCGAGATAGGTAGTAAAGAGTAGGCAATAATTGTGGTTTCATCGTGACCTTAGGTCCTAGATACTCCCCGAAGATCCGGTTCTGCTCTCCCGTGGTTCGATTTGCGTGTTATGTCATGCTCCTGCCTTCTTTGGTTGGCGTACATGTTGGTGCTTCCATGTCTACGTCCCTGAAGCAGATACAAGCCTCAGGAGTGCATAAGCTGAGATGAAGGTTTTTGCTTCTTATTTCAAAATCCATCCAATGTTAGCCATGCCCTCTCAGCTCACGTCCTCGTCCTCCTCGTCCCTTTTCCTTTCTCGCTCGTCTTCTTGCTCCTTCAGGTGCATGGCCTCGACCAACTCACTGCCGTCCATGCCCACCTCTTCTCCATTGCTTCCGTCTGTCGGTTGCTTCTCTCTTATAGCCTTCTGCGCTTCCACTCTTTCTCGGACCAGCTTTGCGATGGCGTTGTCTGTTTGTACATCCAGTCCCTTCATCTTGTGCTCCAGGTCCCTCTTCAGGTCCCAGTTTGGCTTCTTGGGCTGTAACTTGAAGAGATCTAGTCCCTTGTCTTCTGCCTTCTCTGCGTCCTGTTGTGCCTTTGTTTCCAGCGCTAATTGCTCTGCCTTGTATTCCAAAGTATTCGTGGGGTCAGCGATGGGAAGGTTGTCGAAGCCCAGCTTGACGTTCCGCGTCGTCGCATCGTAGTTTCGGCCCGAGAGGTAGGTCGCTGCTACTGAAGGTTCCTCGTCGTCTGTGCGTGTAAGAGCCTGCGATGTCTCGGTCTGGAGCTGGGTGGATGGCGAGTCGGCAGCTTCTGGCGCGTCTGAGATTTGCTCTTGTTTCCGCTTGAGCGACTTGAGCTGTGCGAGGCGTGACTTCCGGTCGTTGGCGGCTGCCGATAGCTTTTCGTGTGAAGACATGGTGAGAGCTTTGCGCTTGCGCCGGGTCCAAATATGGCTGTATGTAGAGCCGGGGGCTGCCGAAAGCTTGGCTGTGGCGTGGTCTTCTTTCGCAAGAAGCCTTGTGTGATGATGCGCAGGGGATCAAGGCTGCGATGGGGGATGGGGGATGGCTGAAGTTGTGGTCGTGTTCACGAGCGTTGCGGAGAACAGCTCGGGAGTCCAAGATCTTCCCCGGTTGGCGTTCCTGACCAAGTACGCACTTTCTCAGGTTTTCGTGCTACCGCCACCAGCTCCCATTCAAGACAACAAGTCATGTCTCGATGAGGTCCACACAGCCTTCACCTTCTCATGCCCCGCTTCCGCGTCCCCAATGCTAGCCTCATCGCCAGCGCGGACCTTCCCATCCTTCCGTTCCTCGCGCCGAGAGTCTTTGCAGAGTCAGCTATACCGAGAAGGAGCAGGCAGCACCGCCGGCGAAGCGATGCAACACCGGAGAAAGAGAAGGGAACAGCAAAACATGTAGAGGGAGGCACCAGAGTGCAACCTAGAGATGGCAAACCAGAAACCAGAAAGGCGACTGGGACAACATGTCGCAAGCAACCGATGCACGACGCATCTGCAACGGGCTTTCTACAAACGTCTGGTTATTGGATGAGAGGAACAGGCCACTCCGCTTCTGTCAACCGGCTCTATGCTGAAATATCGACCTTTACTCGCCAACATGCCCGATCATACGCAACCATCGCATCCAACAATCAAAACATACCAAAGAAAGTCAACTCCTCGCGGCGCCTAGAACGAACGAAGGCCATACCAGAAAAAGCCAAGTCCTCGCGACGCCAAGAACGGGAGAAGGCCCTCTCTGTGGAATACGCGCGTCTCGATTACTACATGTCCACGTTGCCTTCCCAGATCGAGGGGTCCTCCTTTGACCGCAAGACCCAAGGCCAATACAGATCCCTAACGCGCCGCATAACGAATCTCAAGCGCTGGGGATTGACACATCTAGACCTGACGAGGGCAGCTGAAGGGTCAGCTAAAGAAGTCGGGCTTCATTACGCATTTGCAGCACTGGATCGACCGCTCTATCCCTCCTTACGAAAGTTCACGCGCAGAGTTACTATCAAACATGATCCTCGATGTGCGCGGTTGAGTTGGACACTCTTTACAGCCGGGACTCACGGGGTTTCTCCGAGTACACACCAAGTATGGCTGAAATGGCTAGCACTTGATATCTCGATACGGAAAGCTTACGCCCATCGGGTGCTCATCTATCTCCTCGATCGTAAGCCTTGCCGTGCTTTGCATTTCGTAAAAGTTCTGGCCAACGATCCACTCCAGCGGGGTCGAAAGACTGGAGTAATCGCCGATGCTCTCGACCATCTCGCTCAGCTCCATACTCAAAGATTGCACGATAACAAGAGTTGGGGTGCCGACCCAGAGGCACACAAGCGCCGGTTTGTCAGTGCATTCGTGCACCTCTTCGAAAAGTCGTTAGCTGGTCAGATCGGTGTTTGTTCTCAGAATTTGTTGTACAACTTGGTAGAGCTAGCCACAACGAAAGACTTGAAGAGGGTATTTGATTGCCTTGTGCAACATCGGGTGGGCCTAGAGTTTGACACTGTGCTGCATTATGCAACCGCGTTTGGCAAGGCTGGCGAAGTGCAGTATGCGTTGAAATGTCTTGACTTGCTCACAGCTAGAAGTACGGCTACACCCTTGGAGGTTATGGTGGACCGCAAAAGACTTCGGTGGACATGCGCTGGCATATTGCGAAGGAGTATGAGTGAAAGTAAAGACTTCCATCAGACCCCGCTTGTCGTCGCTGCTATTGTACGCCTGGGCATCAAGATGGACATACTTCTTTACAATATCGTCATGCGTAACGCTATGGAAGCTGGAGATTATGCTACAGCCTTCAAAGTATACAACTCTTTGGAAGAAAACGGACTACGGGAAGACAACCACACCCTCTCGATAATGCTTCACGGATGTACCATGCAGAACGATCCAGCTCTCTTCCAAGCTTTCGCACAACACTGTGCTGACATAGCAGGAGACACCCGGGACCCTTGGTTAGCAACAGACTATATCTACTATCTTTATGTACGCCACCACGGTGACGAGAACGTCGAACGTACCTCAGCCATACTATGGCAGTCCTACGCCAGATACTTCTCAGCAGCGCTGCTGCAGTCGTTTGTCGGCTACGGAACTCCAGACCTAAGGAACGTCAGCATCTCACAAAAGACTTCTGCGCTTGGATCCCTGTATCTTGCTCCTCCACCAGTGGCGTTGTACATTATGCTGCGGACAGAGATCCGATCAGCGTTGGCAATCAGCAACACGCGAGTCTATAACCTATACATCAAGTTCAAGTCGGTTGTAGAGGAAGGAAATCCAGAATTTGATGCGTTGGCTCAAAACCCAATAATCTGGAACGCTTTCCTCCTCGCTTTTTGTGAGAAACAGCAATTTGCAAACGCATCCCAGCTCATTCAAGACATGACAGACGGTCCAGCGAAGCCCAACGTTTACAGCTGGAATATCTTTATGCAAGCTTTCTTCAAAACACGACAAGTGCAAGCGGCAGAACGCGTCTCCCAGCTCATGCGAAATAGCGGTGTTGAACCTGACCGCTACACATGGGGAGTTTTGCTGCGGGGATATGCAAGAGCACAACTCGTTGATCGAATCGGCGATATCATTCCGCATTTAAAGCCAGAAGAGGAATTAGACGATGATCTGCTGAGACATCTTGCGAAAGTAGTTGACCGGAGGAAGCTGATGGACGTATTGGAGGAGAACAGGTCCCACAAAGAGACGATCGCGCTAGAGAAAGCAGCTCAAGAGGCAGAGGATGAGCGATCCAGGTGGCGGGATGAGCTCACAGATGGCGAGGCAGCAACAATAACAAGCGGTCTGTCTCCAGTTCAAATCGACATGATTGCGGCGGCGCAAACCAAAGAGTTGCCTGCCACTCAACCTGGCTCATCGGTTGTTCCTCCAAAGCTTACTCCAGTACCTGAGCAACCAACAGAATCGCCTCCAATGCACAGACGCCCGTCGGGATTACCGCGCGCCAATTTGCGGGACCCTGAAGTTCAATACAGAAAGCTTCAAGAGCAGCTAGGTCTCGTCGAATCTACCGAATCCGCAGTCAATGATCGTGTCGAACCGGAATCAGTCGAGCCGTCTAGCGCAGGCCTAGCTTTCAAGAGCATAATCAGCAAGAACAGTGTAAGAGCTATAAATTCTGGCAAGCCCGCTACTACGCGAAAGAGGGTTAGGTTCAATCTCGTAAAACCCGGGCGGCGGGGATGACCTGAAGTGATGGACTCTAGAGGGTCTATAGTGTATATGATATTAATTGAATGCGTACAGTGTGTAACTTCACTTTCAATATTAGATAAGTGCATGTGACGAGGGTAGAGATCTTTTACCTACCAGCTCCTTACCCTCGAACCTCTAATCACCTCTACTTGCCTCTACACTATCGTCCACGCGACTGAACGCTGACTCCTACTCCCACTGCACTATGACATTGAAGTAGCTGCACTAAAGCCCATAACTTCATAGTATCGACTTAATCTTCCCTGTCGCACCCAGACTCATTGTATTCCATCTATAACGGTCTCGAGGACTAGCTCATGCACATTTCCATATCCCTACCAAATAACGAGTAGCCCACCGTCATTCTGTTATTATTACACACGCCAAGTAACCTAGCTATAATTTACTACCACGAAATATGACGGGGAACCAGTAAGAAGTCTAGACCAGACGGGTAGCTGGATAATGAAGCCGCTGGTCAACCAAACTCCACTGTCGAACCCCACAATGACACCAGAGAACTGGAAACTCGCTCATCGACAAGTCGTAAATTCCAAGCTCCATGTTCGCCACAGCTGACATTCTCGTGCTTTGTCCAGGCCGAAAGAGAAGCAAGGAGTAGCCGAGTACGATCGTTCATAAGAAGAAGGTGCGTCTCTGCTCGCCCAGCAACCGAAGAACGACTAACATCCATCTCTATTTCCTGGTCCGGGCCGGAAGAATGTTCACCGCGGGGTCGGGAGGATCTACATTGCATTCGCATGCAAGCTAACTACCTACTACTGTATACTAACGACCCGTTGGAGCAAACCAGGCTTTCTCAACATTATTGCCGTCCCGCTCGCCGCGAAGAGATCTAGATCAAAACAGACCGCCTTACGAAAGCGTAGACCTGAAGCATACGAGTGGGTCGAATGTTGGCGCAGAGTAGGGTGATCGTAATGTAATGCAATCGGATCGATCACTGTCATAGTAACCTGCTGGAAACTGATGAACGTTTGGGCCCGTCTTTGTACAAATCAGACCATGTTACAGAGAACACTATTAGAAGAGCTGGAGCACGGAATATTGTGTAATGCTTGCTTTCAGTCTATTTCTCTCTCTGCCTACAACTCCTGTCATCATTTGTAGGCTCAAACAAGTAAAGGAAAAGATATTGCCGAAGAAATTGGCGTGCAGGTTGTAGGATAGTTACAGAAAGATAGTGATGTAGAGAAGGCGTTGGATAATTACAAGAGTGATGTATTGTTCGCATAAGAAAGCGTCAAATCCTCCGAGATTCCAGCATCAAAATGATAGAAGATGGTGAAGAAAAAAAGCTGCCAGCATGCATCATCTCACTAAGATCCAGACGAACATAATTGTCGTCTCTTTGAATCTTTGTCGACAATTCGACTACAGTAAGATAGGCATGCTGCGCTAGTCCAAACTCAAAGTCGCTCGTGCTTTTGATTGTTGTGCTCATTACACAACATGTAGCTTGCCGGACTGCAACCCTGCAAGCTCAATGGGCAGGATCTTCCGATGTCGTACCACCTGCTTGTGTCGGCGAGCCTGCTTCCGTATCTTCCGGATAGAAACCCCTCGCGTGAAGGGGGCATGCGGAAGTGCATGCCGACATCCATACAAGTGCGCACCGCACCAGTACAGCTGGCAAAGACCATTATCAAGGTTCGACGCAAAAAAATGAATTGATGACCGCCCAATGAACGCCTCCGTTTGGATATATGTCGACTAAAAGCTGAAGGAGATGAATCAAAGATAGGGTCGCAATATACAGGTAGCGATGAGTGAATAGATAAAGCAGCGGTCAGGGCGAGACTAGAAGTTTTGCGCGATGCCAGAGTTCCCTTGCTGAGGGAAAACACTTGGATTTTCTATCCTTGTGTTGCGTCGGGCTGACACGTCTCGTATGATTGGCTGTTGGTTGCCGGCATATGGGTCATTTCCTGCATATGGCCCGTTTTGGTAGTACTCTTGATGCTGGTAGTACTCTTGCGGGTGACCATTGGCCATGCCAGGGTAGTCGCCAGAGTTGTCAGAGTGATTGGCTGCCGAGTATGATGACGAGGCGTTGGATGGTCCACGGTGTACCCCAGCCTGGTTGTTGGCGGAGTTGGTCGCTGCAGCGCCATTGACAACACCGAGAGCACCGATACCGTCCGAGTCCATGGTCTGGCGACGGCCGTCTACAAGCGGATCGTTGGAGTGAGCGTCAGAGTAGGCGCCGTGGGTGGGAGAGTGTGGGCTGGTGTAGCCGCCGGGATTGCTGTTGCTGTCTGAGTAGGTCATGCCAGAGGTGAGGGTGGTTGACATCTTGCGGTTAGAGCTGGTAGTGGTGTTGCCCCAGCCTCGGTAGCCGCTGTCATCCTCGGCCATTTGCAATCCACCAACAGCAGGCAGCGTAGGGTCGTGGTTGGGGTTGAAGCCATACTCCTCGACCTCTTTGCGACGTTCGTCCTCGGCGCTCTTGCGCTGTTTGCGTTTCCGCCAAAAGAAGATGCCGCCCAATACTAGTAGAGCGACGACAACGACAGGAATGACGACAGCAATGGCTGTCTTGCCGCCAGTGCTGATGCCGCCAGAGTTCTCTTTTTGCGCGTTCTGCAACTGAGTGGAGTCGGTGTTGGAAGGGTCAGCAGCACCGGTACCAGTGGAAGATGCACCGTTGGTTGGCGCAGCGGCAACGTCGGTGCGTGAGAAAGTTGCAGTAACGGTGACGACCTGGGGTGTTTCGCCTTGGCCCGTCGGGGTCGAGGTTACAACAGTGACCGAGGTAAAGACTTGGGTGGACGGAGGTGCCGACGAAGCAGTGACGACGCTTGTCGCGATGGGTGCGGCATTGCTGGTGGTGGCTGCGGGAGGGGGCGCTGCTGACGATTGCGGTGGTGCGCTCGACTGGGCTGGTGGAGGCGCTTGTGAGGTTGACGGGGCAGGAGCGGGCGCTGAAGAGGCAGGCGGTGGCGCCTGGCTGGAGGGAGCGGCGGCCTCGCTCGAAGGAGCAGGTGCTGCACTGGACGGGGCGGCGCTCGAGGGTGGAGGAGCCTCTGACGAGGGCGCGGCCGCTGAAGGCGAGTTAGAAGCCGGTGCGGGACTTGAAGGAGTGTTTTCTGGCGGATTGGAAGACGGCGCGGGAGCAGAAGAAGCCTCAGTAGGCGCAGGTGCTGCGGAGGGTGTTACAGACGGCGAAGGAAGATCTGACGAGGGCGGATCTGAAGATGGGGCAGAGGCTGCAGGAGCAGGAGCAGAGGCAGAGGAAGGAGCGGCTTCGGCAGTCTGAGAAAGAATAGAAGGAGACAACGTACTCGCAGTCACATTGTTGCTAGACATGTTGACGACAATGGCAGCCAGAAGCTATGGTGCCGGGGAAAGGAGCGGCTTCAGCAACGATAACGACGACGCGACGACGGATAGCAGGTGCCGCCGGGAGAGGGTCAGGTAGCAGCAAGGGGACAAGATTCTCAAGATGAAGTAGTTAGAGTTCCGTGGTACCGCTGGCGGGCTCGTAGGAGTGGGCGGCGATCGCTCGAGTGCTCCGCCCGTGGGTCCGCAGTGATGATGTATCGACAGAGGCTCTTTGTTGCGAGTGGGCGACGGGCGAGGTTGTGCAGGAGTGTTAGTGGAGACGCACGCCAAAGGACGGGCGATCCCAGCAAGCACCTGTTGATTAAGCTGCCGAACCGAAGACGCCCAACAACAACAAGCGCGCTCTTGTGCCCTGCCGCCGGTGCCAATTGGGGGCAGTCGATGGCGGTCAAAGGTTTACGGCGAATTGCGATCACCCTCACGCGTTTCTGAAACCATGCCGTCGCAGCGCGCGCTGGAATGCGAAGCCCATGGGCCTCGCGACTCTCCAGCAGTGCCGTGCCAAGGCCTGCTGCAGCCTCTGGTGTTGCACCCAGCAGCGACTGGCTTGGAGCTTCAGACGGAAAAGCGGGTGTCTAATGCACCCAAGCTGACTAGCATTAGCCCCAAAGGGGGAGGTTGTGAGATGCAAATACAAAAGGCGCGCCTGGCTAGCGACCAATGCGGCATGTCCGTGGCTGTGTGCGTCTGAAATCTGTCCACGTCCATGAGCCCTGGACAAGACGCCGTCACGGCAGCTTTCATCTTCTGCGTCGCACACCAGTTCGGCCATGATGCAACGTCCTCGCTGCCATGGCCGTCGCATGCCGTCATCCAAACGGGCCTTGTGTGCGAAATTTCCCACATCCCAGTCCCAATAACATCATCCGCTCGTGTTGACTGGCGAGCTGCCTGTTCTTTTCAGCCCGTGCGCCCGTGATTGGCTCCGTGGCGTGCCACTCTTAATATAGATGGTCAGAGTATCCTCGGCACGTTACCTCCCGTCTGCTCTACTGTGTGAACAGCGCACCGTGGCTTCGCAACTGCTGCAGCTACCGCCATGTTACGAGGCAAAACGTCGTAAAAGACACGACTAGATGCGCGCTTTCCATCAGCTTTCTTCGTATCTCTTCGTCATATGCTTTTGTCCCTGCCACGTGCAGACTTCGTCGCTCCACCCGCGCACTCGCTAGTGACCAACAAATACTCACCGAACTGTCTCGTCCAAAACAAGTCAACCCTGAACTGATTAGACATCAGTACCCTGTCGCAGTTCATCGTCTTGTTCGGCACGCGCTGCTGCATAGTTGCCCCCACCATCTTCACCACTCCACAATGTCACGCTTAGTGTACCACCACCACGCACTGCCCCTTACCGCTAGTACTGCACAACTTCATTGTTCGCTAGATTGCAAAAGCCACACGTATCGCTTGTCCACTGTTCAACACCGCACCGCCAGAAGCTTGATTACTAGCGTACCAATAAGCAATATACTCCCTAAAGCACGCCCGGAATTATGGCCTTGCGCCCTTGCAGCTTATCCTTCCCAAACTTCTTCTCGTACCACCTCTTGCCCTGCAACGCACGCGGAAGCATGGTAGTCACCTCGTTGAGGAGAAACGTGCGTGCAGGCACACACTTCCAACCCCCAATCATCCACCAGCCCGCCCACTCGATCCATTCGCAGAGGTAGTGCGCGTGCAGCGAGTACTTGAACAGACCATTCTTCGGTACCATGTAGATCTTGTCCACGCTCTCCACTGGCTTGCCCTGTTCGGCGGCTGCCTTGCGCTGTTTGCGATCTGCCGCTCTCCTGATCTCGCGCAGGTCGTCGTCGTGGAACATGTTCGCTAGAAGTCCCCAGCACCAGATTACGAGCCCTAGAAACATGTACTCTGATCGTGCTGCCCATTCGTATTGTGATGTCGGGCCGTAGCCTGCGAGGTACCCGCCAATGGAGATTGCGTTGAACATCTGGAACCCAAATGCCATGGTCCAAACAAAAGGATGTATTGGCGACATGCTAGGATTGAGCAAGAGGGGAGACACAACGGCGCGGTAGAGATAGTGGAACACCTTGAGTATGATTAGCACATTTCTCGCCCATCTTTCACCTCTACTCACAAAGCAGCCAGCCATAGTCCAATTACCCCAGGGTAGCTCTCCAAGACCCAATTCTTTCGGGAGCGAGTACATGATGTACAGCAGGGTTATAAAGCCCGCCGATTCCATCGTTGCCCACCCTATCTTGCCGTCGATGTTGAAACGCGATTCAATCGACGTCTTGCCCTGTGGGTACCAGTCCAGAACCCATTGAGCTGCAGTGATCTTTGTGAATGTTAGTAACGGCTGGAACAAAGAATGCGGGGCTGCGGCGCCGCGCCTATGCTTACAATAGGGAAGAACTGCCAGATGTAGCAAATCAGCTCCCAATTCTCGCGCGACGGTGGAAGCCAGTTCTCCACAATAGCCATAGTTGTATATGGAAGGTGATCCTGCGCGAAACGAGATCGTGGGAACGCGTAAAGGATGTTGCCGGTGAGGAGCTTGGGACTTTGAAGCAAGTTGAATCGCAAACAATGATGTCACCATAACAGTATCGCATCCGCGCCAAGCCGAAGCGTATCGTCGTGTCCTCCGCCTCGACAGCTTTTCATCACGCTTCGGTCCGGATGAGCTGATCCACTCGCATGTGTTTTTCTCTGCGCGGCGCCAGTCAAAGATCTGCACAGTCCAGGAGTTCTTAGGCTGCCCCTGGATTCTGCTCGGCATCAATTTCCAGTAGGTATATGATTTCTATGGCGTTGTTTCTTTCCATCAAAAACCCGTCTCCTTAGCTCAATTGGGAGAGCGCCAGACTGAAGTCTCAGTCACTAAATCTGGAGGTATCGTGTTCGATCCACGAAGGGGACAACGTGCCTGGGTTCGCCCAGGATTCTTCGAACTTCTTTTTTTGCATTCGCTTGTCCGTACTGCTGAGCTAGGACATGCAGCGTGTTCGGTTTCTTTTCTGCCTGTAGTTTGGTGGCTACTTCTTTTTGCGAGCATGCCTGTCTTGCAAGCTATGGCAAATTCTGGTCTTGCCACCAATCGAGTCCGCTGAGAATGTCCACTAGTACGTATGCCAGGGCATGGGCACGACCAAGCAACGTGTCCAAGTCATTTCACGTTGTGTATGCACAAAAGCGTCAACAATTTCAATGAAGAGAAAACAATGCTGTAAACTTATGCTACGCTATGATGCTTGCTGATAAAACAAAAAACAATGGTCCGTGGCCCGAATATCAGAATTCTGCCTGGCGCCTACTCGTCTTGCCTCGCACCACTTGCCTGCATATCGGCATCAGTGACAGGCACACTCTCCCTTCGCAGCTGTTCGGGCGCTCTCGCTTCGTTGCCCTTCTTAATGCCTCTTCCTCCAGGCGTCAAAAATGTGTTGTCTAGATTGGGCAACTCCTCGCCAGGAGTGGGGGTCCAGTGCTTGCTCTTCCATGGTGTAACGTGGAGGATGTACATAGTGTCAATTTCTTCGAGGGTGCGGCCATGAGATTCGCAGACAAAGAAGTAGACTACTATAGCGCCGAGGAAACAGCAGGCCGCGAAGACGTATCCATATTGATAATCGATGGCAGCCGTGATATAGGGTGTGACTAAGAATGTGCATTAGTGGGGTTCATCCCGGCAATGTGAAGTGGTAAGAACTTACAGAAGGAGATGAGGAAGTTCCAGGTCCAGTTGCTGGCTGTGGCTAGAGCCATGGCCTTCGCACGGTATCGGCTGGGGTAGATTTCTCCAACGACAGCCCAGACAATTGGTCCCCATGTCATGGCATAGCCTGCGATGAAGAGACACGCAAAGGTGATCATAGCATACCCAACACCCTGGTTCGAAGTGCCGTCGTCATTTTCCAGAGCGAAGTGGCCCAGTGAAGCAAAGACCAGGAAACACATGAACATCCACAAGGCACCAGTGATTAGTGCAGGCCTCCGTCCAAACTTCTCAACAATATACAGACCGGGGAAGGTCATGCCAAAGTTGACACCTCCTAGGATCATGGAGGTGACGAACGAATTTGAAATACCAACAGACCGGAAGATCGTGGTTCCATAGTAGAAATAACTACAACATGGTTAGTATGGGATACGTTAGAAGTACTTGAAATCGACTTACTAGTTGGCACCTGTGAGCTGCTGGAGGGCTTGCAGACTGATACCAAGTAATACACGATACAACATGCGCGGTCCTGTAAAGATCTCGTACCAGGGGTGGTGGCCGCCTCCCGCTTGCTCCGCCTCTAATTTCTTCTGAATTTCCTGGACTTCGCGCTGAACCTCTGGGTGGTCCTGAGAAACACCGTACGTAAGGGCGATAGTGTGTATCGCTTCGTCAACTTTGCCCTTGCGGTATTCCCATCGTGGAGATTCCTGCATAAAGAGGATCCCGACCATCATAAGTGCTGACCAGATAAAGCCAACACCCATTGGAATCTTCCATGAAGCTGAACTGCCATCATCCTCAGTACCGAAATTGATGCCTAGAGTGCAAAGTCAGTATAGGTTCCAGAGATGGTTAGTAGATAGGATTGCTCACAGTAAGCGGTAAAGATTCCGAGGGTGATAAAGAGCTGGTAACACGATACGAGCGCACCTCGTACGTAGCGTGGTGCAGTCTCGGACTGGTACATTGGCGTAAGGACCGACAGTCCTCCTACACCAAGACCAGCGACCCAACGACCTAGGGAGATTTGATACCATGTTTTCGTTGTAGTAATCTGAACAATGACTCCGATGCAGAAAATGATGTTCCAGAAGACGATAGAGTATTTGCGGCCGAATTTGTCGGCAATAGGAGCGGCGATTAAAGCACCCATCAAGGTACCGATTGAGAGTAGGGCGACGATCAACCCAGACTTCCAGTTGCTGAAAGCACGTCCGCCTGTTTCAGGGTCCGTCTGATCCGCAAATTTGTTCAGAAAGTCTGGCATTTCCAGGAATCCAGAGATTTGACCGGTGTCGTAACCAAAGATGAACTACATGTCGTTAACCAACGTACCCATATTGTTTCGTATAATACATACACCACCCATTGACACAATGATCGCCATGGCAATGATACGCATGCGGAAAATCTCCTTCACACCACCTTTCAACATCTGCGGTTTCTTCTCAGGATCCTGATCTATCATCGTGGAGGAAGCAGGCGAGGCGTGTGAATGCCCACGGAATCGGTCGAGTATCGCCATGGCTGGTGAAAGGCGAAAGTTTTGTGCCGATCAAAGGTAAGAGAAAGTAACAACAGATTTTGGGGTCGTGGGGTCTCCGAGTCCTATAAACCACCCATATTTGCTCCGCTTCTTGGCTCTTGAAGACCCCAATGCCGTCATAACGGCACGCTCAACCGTGGGTCGTCACCGCATTCCCCATGCTTACCGCGCAGTTTGGTAAGTCCGAAGCCATCTCGTGAGTGTGCGAGCCGCAATGACCGACGTCATGTTTTGCATGGTCCAGGACCCCAGCATACGGCCGCTAGCCACATCGCCATCGATAAGCCCGGTCAATCGAATGCTTGATAGAGTTAAGCTATCAACAAGCGTCGCGTTCCCATTGGTTACGGGATCACTCCGGAGCCAATCTTTGAGCCTCCAAAGCTTGGCCCAGGGAATTTCTACCGACGTCAAAGCTGCGCACGTCATCTTCACTTCGACATGTGGGGTAGTGCAAGAGCCGTTGTATGTCAGTTGAGTTGTCGTTGGCTGTCGTCGCGACAGACTGCCGAGGCGTCCCGACATGTCAGGACGTTGGCGTGTCGCAGCAATGATCGAAGGTGAATGTGATGCAAGTGTATCACAAGATCTGGCTTGGCGTCCATCACGTTGATCCTTTGAAGATGATATCATCATATCATCCTCTCACTCCAACATATTTCGACTATCGCAATACACAAGACTCACATAATGTTTCATATCGGACGAACGATTGCGGAGCGGAGCTTCTCGGTGTTGGTCCCAGTTTTCTTTCTTCTACGGGTCTTCGATGCATGGACATTGTGGGTCACGATCGCCACACCATGGGGCTCCCACTGCCGTTAGGTGTCTCCGGATTCAAAAATTTCGATGGTACCCAAGTACCGGTAACGTCATCTCGCTTTATCACGCGTCAGTCATGAGTCTGGAAATACAGTTCTTGTGCGGCTCAGCTACCGAATGTGGATGTTTGCGAGTCAGATCCGAGAACTACGGTGTACGGAAGGTGTCGCTATCTCGAGAATTACCGATTCCAGAATTTTATACGAAAGCGCGGCTCTATTGTATCAGCGTTTTGATTTCAGGGCGGAAATCTATTACCAATCACTGCTGATTGTACGATCTGCCGATAATGCAATTCCCGCCTTGAAATGATCTTATACTGCTGAAAGCTATAGGAGAACTCGTGCTTCCGAATGGTGTGTTGCATGGCAAAATTGGAATTGTATAACATGACAGTGCCTCGAAGGGTAATATTTCCACCAACAGCATAAGTGTATATTTCGTTCTTGTATCATCATATCTTCTATTATCCAGGTAAGCTGATAGCGAAATCATCCATACATCTCGGATCGACAAACACGAATCCTTTTATTATGCAGCGTCGGCTGTGCGCGCGATTTCTAGCCCACTATCGAGGTATGTGATTGAACTGGGGGTAAAACTGCATAGTTTCGTAGCAACTTGTCGTCTCGTGCACGTATCCCTTTGAAACTCTAAGTACTTTCTAACCCAAACGGAAATTGATCTAACTAATGAACCGTTTGTGGCGGGTACGCCATCCGAGCCATTTCACTGTCTGACGTGGCTTAAGCCGTCCACATGCCATCCATCACCTCGAACCTACCCACACAATTCACAAAAGCCGTCCCAACAAGGTAATTGCGTTCAATGGGTGTAGATTACAGATGAGAAACACGGGTACAGTTACCGACCACTCAAATTTCTACCATAATGAGAAAAAAGACAATTCGACTGGGTATTGTACCCGGGACGTGGTTGCTTCTTCAGTTGTCGGGTCACCGTGCCGTATGACAGCGCGCTCCAACCACCACAGGTGTAGGTAGCGAAAGGATTCAATCACAGATGACTCTGATTTCATCCCTCATCGTCTCCAAACAAGAACGAAAACTTGCCCTCGCGGACGCAAGACCGAGGTATGTCATCCGCGCTTCCCTATTACCCATACCGATCATAGCTATGCATGATGTCCGCCTGCCCATCTGTATTGGCACGACTTAGCTTTTGCTGTACAAGTCTTGAGTGTGTACCGTGATAGGCAATCTTGTTGTTTTGGGTGCAAAGCGTAGAAACTAGGCGTCTCACGGCTACTTTTGCTGGCGACATACGCTTCGTAAAGTGTCCCAACAACCCCATCGGCGTTACTTAGGTGGAGATAGCTTCATCAAAATAGTGTGGGTGATAGGGACGGTTGATAGGACGATGGATTCTATTCTACAATTCTGTTGATGCTCACGTTCGTGGGTGAACCCCCCGTCGTAATAGAAGCAAGGTTACAATTTTATTATAGCTACATGAATACCGCCCATTCCGTCTACTAACCGAGAAGAAAAGTGCTTTTACCTAGTGACCTAACAGAAAGTTGAGAGGTGGGAGAGATCACGATCAGGATGCGGACGATCCTCAGCATGCAAGCGGGAAGCATAGAAAGCACGCATTAGATAAACGCCTCATTCTCCCTTCGAACCTGTCCCGTGCCCAGCCAGATAAAGATGCAAATAAGTCCAATGGAGGCACCGTCGCAATGCTAAAGATCATGTCGTAAAGCGTTAGTTGGGGTTCGTGTTGTTATTGAAGTTGCCCGACCCGCCTCGAGTGGACATTGTAGGAGCATTGTTAGCAAGCCCGGATGATGGTACTCGCGTCATAGAGGGCAAAGCAAACGGTGGAGCTGGAGCTGGAGCTGGAGCTGGAGGCTTTGGAGGCAGATGTGAAGGTGTACCATATTTTGCGATGCTGCTTTGAGATGACCCCGGCTCGCCAGTCTGGGAGGCGATTCGGTTCATGGAAGTGGCTGAGTTGTTGCCCTGTATACTTTGAGGTGACCCAAACGACGGTGTGGAATTAGAAGAAGGGTTGGGTCTAGGCATTTGAGCAGGCATGGAAGTCTGAGCCGACATTTGGTATCCGCCGTACCCATTTAACTGAGGCTGTCCCTGCATCATATTTTGCTGCATTCCGAAGGGTATGTTACGTCCACCGGGAACAAAAGCTTGAGTTTGTGGGTTGAACTGTCCACGGTTATAGCTTCCTGGAAGAGGATGCTGGTTGCGATTTGACTTTCCATTGTAAGCATTTGAGGCGAACTGCCCGTAGGAATACCCAGGCATTGGTGCTTGGTGGGGTGCGGACATGGGGCGGTTGCCAGGACCATTCTGAGCATTGTATGCACCCTGAGCTATGTGGAATGAGGGCTGTTGATTTGCGTGTGACCAACCAGAATTCACAGGCATGTGTTGTGGTTGCTGGTAGGTATCTTGATAAGATGCCATTTGCGGATTGGCCATCTTCGGAGTGACTTGAGAAGGCATGCCAGCGCTCTGGAAGGACGACATACCCCTTTGGAAGTCTGCCGATATGTCGTAACCATTCGATGCTTGTCCATAACCGGGGTACGCCATCATTGACCCGTTAGAGGCCTGGTACTGTTGACCAGCCCAACCATACTGCGACTGCGCCTCTGGGGCCATCATGCCCGGATACGGGTTGCTGAAAGCAGCCGGAGGAGAAGCACCAGGATTCATGGTTGCATATGGCGCATTCTGTGCAGGACCTGGGTAACCGTTGTAGTAGACCGCGTTATCTCCAGTGTATGTAGCCACAGGATACTGTTGCGGGTAGTACACATTAAAGCGGGAACGAGCCTGAAAGTCATCATCGTCGTAGTTACGCTGCTTCTTGGGCTTCTTCTTTCCAGCAGCGGAACTTGATCGTGAGATGTCCTTCCCTTTGTTTTTGTCTTCTCCAGGTCCATTGCTTTCTGCCACCTCGGGCTCTTCGCTCTCTGCACTTCCGAAGATGCGCTGACGGGCCTCACGATAACGTGCCTCACGCTCTTCTCTGGATAGAGCGGCTTTATCTTTGCTGCCTTCGCCGTCATTGCTGCCCTCACTACCACCCATCTCAGAAGTCGTCTTTGAGGCATTTTGCGAATTAGCTCCAGTGTTTGTACCTGATTTTCCATCGTCGCGACGCATTATCTTACGAGCAGGAAGCTCTACAGGAGGTGTATTGGTACCCTTGGCAGGATCAACCATCTGTGACACGGGAGGTGGGCTGTGAAACAGTCAGCAACAAAACACAACAAACCTCGCTAGATACTTACATCCTACAGTAAGGTGTTCGTGTAATCTTCACACCAGTCATAGTAGTGTCGACCACGTGGCCGAGCAAATAGTAGTCCGCAAGACGGTGGGCAAGCATCCTATAGAAAGTATTACAGTTCGGCAGACACAATTCGTTTTCTCTGCCTCCCGTTAGTAACGATGAGAAGAAAAGTAGTCACCAGTAACGTACCGAGAATCTTTGATGAAATCAATAAAGTCTTGTTCAATCTTGACTACAAACAAACGATCGCGTGGAGACCGCAGTGCTTCAAGCAGCTTCTCGTCTGGAATGGCGGGCATGTTGGGAACACCGTTGAGTGAGGGCATACCATTGACCATAGGCTGCGACATGAGCCCTGCGCTGTTCAGCGACTGGTTAGGGTCGTACAAAGTTTGCGGACCATTGGTTAGTGTTGGAAATCGACCTGGAGGACCTTCTCGCTTAGGTTGAGGATTCATCACCGCTATTTCATGTAGCTGGTCTCGGAAGGCACGCGCAGCGCCGTGATCAGATCCCTGCCGGGAGTCTGCAACGACTGAGTCGGGTGGGGATGTGACATCCTCTTCCTCGACTGCCCTGAGGCTGGCACTGTCGTCTGGGCGCAAAGACTCCTTCTCGTCGAGCGCAAAGGTGGTTGCAGAAGCAACACTCTTTCCATCAACACTGGGAGGTTTCCCGGATCCATCTGACGAGGAGAGCTGAGTGCTGCTGTCCTCGGTAACAGACACCTTGACTACAGCAGCAGACTGGGGCCTATCGACAGCTTCCCCTTTGGGGTCTGTGGACGGTGTGTCCGATAGCTCGGCGGTGCTTGTCTGCTGCGCCGGCGGCGAGATGGCATTTTCAGCGCTTTTGCTCGCATCGTTATCCTCTCGCTTTTCCGCGAGAATTCTGGGCGGTACCTCGCCGTTCATGGGGATAGAGCGCGCCTTGTGGGCGATGGCAGGTATTCTAGGTGTCGCAACAGGCGGCCTCGCTTTTGGAGCAGAATCTTTCGACGTCTGGGGTTTTATGGCGGAAGCCGCGACCTAGCGCTGTTAGCACACCGCCCATGGAAATTGCTTCTTAAAACCGTACCTTGGCGAATGACAGAGGCCGCGGGGGCGCCTGTTCTGCTGGAGCCGGTGTCGCGGATGCCATGGTTATGAGGCGGTGGTTGGTACTGAAGACTATTTGGGCGGTAGGATGCGATTCAGATGGCCTATGCGCAGTGCGCAGACGGTGTTCAAACGCGGGGGAGGGCGAAATGGATATCCGGGAAGTTTTGGAGCAGCAGAGCCGTGGAATGAACTGACGGACGCGTGTTTCTGAAGCCGAAAGAATCACCAAGCTCAACGCCGTACGTGGGTCGTCGTAGACGGAAACGAAGGTGGTGTGTTAACCGAAGTGATGGACGTAATTTTTTTTCAGGAAATAGGGTGCTCAAGGAAAGTCGCGATAACCGGAGCCAGAAAGCTGGACATGTTGGTATGCCGACATTCGTGGGAAAAGGGTAGGGCAGTGGGTTTGTTGGATCGAGGCCAAGGTGAAGTAGCCTTGACGACAGGCGTGCGGTACAGAGACGTGGGCGTCGAGTGTGCAAGAAGCTGCCAAGCACCCGGAGACAGGGCGCACGACAAAGGACGACCGGTGAATTGGCTCGTCGACTTGGGTATAGGGCGGGGACCAGGCTGTTATGCGGGGTGCAGCGCAAGGCGTGTGAAGGATAGAGAAGCGATGATGGAAGCGGCCAGTGGGCGGGCTTAGTCATGCCGCTCCGCCCAATTCTCCGGCCAAGCTGCGTCTGCGCTTTACTGCATGCGAACAAGGCTGGTCGCGTTTCCTCGCCGAAAGTGACAGAACAAGACTGAACTTGGCGAGGCCTTGATCACACCTCTGCCTGCTGCACCGCTGACGCAAGAGTCGCGTCGAATATCCCTGCCAGCGTCGACGATAGGATTTTGGCCCAACAGGACCCTATTGCACTCGACCTCTACTGCAACTACAGTCCGCCATGTTCCGTCGTCCGGGTGCTGGGCGCTCCAAGGCTTCAGCAGATACCCTCTGTCAGAAGTGCCTCAAGAGAGGACATTACAGTTACGAGTGCAAGGCATCTGCCCAAGAACGCCCATACAAATCTCGACCTTCCAGGACACAACAACTACTCAACCCCAAGCTGAAGCCCAAGCTTACCACCGAAGTACCCCAAGATCTGCTGCGCAAGAAGGGCGTCGCAGATGAGATCCTGAAGAAGAAGGAAGAGGATCGCAAGCGCGCGCGGTCACTCTCTGCATCATCTGCCGACTCTGTCTCCACCATCTCAACAAACCGCTCCCGCTCCCGCTCACGATCTCCACCACGACGGAAGCGCAATGCACCAAGACATCGAAGAGACGACAATGACAAGGAGCTGCGTAAGCGCAGCAGGCGATCAGTGTCCATGGAATCGCGCTCATCCTGCGTATCGGATACAGCAGACAGAAACACAAGGCGGCGCATGAGCTCCTTCAGCCCTGGCGAGCGAGGCCGCCGAAGAACCAGGTCAAAGTCGAGGTCAAGGTCGGCGCGCATGCAGACATCACATGAGAATGCCAGAGGAAGAGCACCACGAAGCATGAGTGGCAGTATCAGGTCACGAAGCAGAAGCGCAAGAAGAGATAGGAGGCGGCCAGTTCGTCGGTACTCCATCTCGAGATCACGATCGAGAAGCGCGGATCCCATGGATACGTCTGATGAGAACCACCCACCTAACCGACTATCAAAGGGTGAAACAGGAGTCTCACATTCAGGGAACCGTGAACCCTCGAGGCCACTCTCACCGTACCACAGCGGTCGCGATCGCAGCCCCAGTCCGTACTCCAAGCGCAAAGCCGCACGCCGGTCGCGCAGTCCACAAGAAGCGAGAAACGGAGGACGACTTCGTGACAGTTCGCACCGACCGGCAAGAAACCGCTTCGACAATCGACCACCTGTGTCAAATGGCAGAGATACGCCGCCGCCAGCGCAAGCACCCCCACCCGTTCAGAGAGAGCGTAGCTTGAGTCCGTACAGCAAGCGCTTGGCCTTGACAAAAGCTATGCATTCAGGGTAGACAAGATAGCAGTCAACATTGGGAAAGTCAGAATGCTGCAGTGGTACCTGGAGATTCTTACATTGCAGATGATGGGACGATAATATCACAATGAGTTATCAAGGTCAGAGCCGCTCTCGTGGCTTACCGGGTGACCAGATATAGGTCTGCACCAACTACGAGCATATTAGAAAGGCGTTTGCATCGAGTCCAGATAGTTGTTTCAAGCTAAGACAATGGTTTACTAGCTTCTTCATAATTATCAAATTACATTGGAAGAGTTTGATCTAGGATCCCACCTTATGCTCATATCATCTCTAAAGTCCACGCTCCTTTGTTGTTTTACTTGTGGTATGATTCTTCCTTCTCCCCGCCGTATCACCAACCCAGTCTTCCATTCGGCGTGAACTCGAGCCTGTTCGATCGTTCCGAGACTGAAACTATTGAAATTCTGTATAGGCGAATATTGATTGCGAAAGTGGTATTGGTCGCTGAATTTTGAGCATGCTGTCGAGAGGTGTTATCGCAGCGTTTCGCAAAACTTCTCGAATTTTGTCGCTGCAGATGGAGAGCATTTCCTAAAACAAAGAGTTCGATAGCACCATGCTTCGAGGCGTCCTGAATCATCGGATATCATTTTAGACACTGCCCAGATGATGATTTGTACAATTCTCAAATCATCCGTGAGTTCCACACAGTGTAAGTTGATGCTGACGATGATGTATGCCTTCGTTGCGTAGTCTACTATGAAAGCCATGGGAGCTGTACTAGAGGGGTTGAATGCGTTGTGAGCAATCTAACTGTTGAACTGTACATTTCATGCAGATAAAGACTGTTGCGTAAGGCAGGGTCCGGGACAAGAATCGAGGATGCTGGCGAAGCGCGAATCATGGTGTCAATTAGACGCTGCCTCATTATACCTAGGTATTATCCCTCAGATATTCCTACGACTTTCAGTCGAGAAACTCAAATTCCATCGGGTTGTTTCTAGCTTCTCTCTGGTTCGACTGGGTGCGAGATCTATATCGTTGTTGGTTGGTTGCGTTCAAGATAAGCTGGAAACTAATGGAAACAGGTATCTTGAGTCATTTTGATACCAAAGGACCTCGTAAGTGTAGGGTGTCGTAATGTGCTTAACGGATACCACCAAAAACTATCTGTGGGGTTGCATGGCTCATCCTGTGGTTGACAAGTCGGCTTCGCTGAAAGGGGATGAAGCTTAGTTAGCATAGCCAGGACATGGAATGCCGTATCAGGGGAATGCCACATATTAAGCGGTAATATAATTCCGGATGTAGCATGAGACATGTTTCCAATACGTATTGTACAAATGTCGTGATGTTGCACATGGCTCATGACGTGTGGGCAGGGGCCATTGAGAGGGATGAGCTAACCGCTAGCGTGCCAAGAAAGCCATCCATGTCACTCAATTTTCTCCGCGAAGCTTCTGCTCTTCTTTTCTTCACATATTGTCAACGGTCTCCAATAACCCTAAGGTCCTTCCTTTACGAAGTGGATTCGCCTTTTCCAGAGCAGACCCAGAGAAACAGAATTGCCATTCTAATCCTGCAGCTCGTCCACGTCGACTTCGGTCGGTATTGGAGCTGCGGGTTCGCTTTAGGCCAACATACATCGGTGCCTATCTGAACAAAGGGGCCTCGTGACCTTGATTTCAATATCACCGTGAAGAAGAGACGTGTATCTTGGGACGAATATGATGCCCTGACAGCTGTTACGCGTGGCGTTGGTTGCTACATGCGTTGAGCCGTCACCGGCATCCAAATCGGCCCCCAAATCCCGACACCCGCATCATGCATAGTACTGCGTAGAGCGAGAAAAGAAATACAGGGTTCATCGTGATTGGCATGCTATTGAGGCCTGTCGTTGTGCGGATCTAGACTGTTAAGGTCAATGGCCACAAATAACGTTGAGCGCCCAGCTGAAAGACCTCCCCGCATCTTCCGCCGTGTGTCACTCCACACGAAGCAAGAAACGTAGCTCTGGATCGAAGGACTCGAGAGCGGCTGAGCAGCAGCTTCCGATTCAGTCTGACCACCTCGCTACTACTGGTCGCAGCGATAGTATTTTCTTCGCCTGTTCGTCTCATTCGATCTGTCTCAAGCCACGTACAATGTTCGTCGCAGCAGGCCACCCTTGGCAGGTCGGCGCCGTGTTCTCGCAGACTTCAAACTAGGCCTATATCCTGCTTGGTCAAACGCCTCTGTCGGGCCTGTAGATCACTCGTATTTCGTGTGCTGTGATCTCATTGGAGATAGGCGTCCCACAACTCACGACATGGCTGAGAAGACGGTCGCCTAGCAATATTACGACGCAGTCAGATCGGTGAACCGGAGTGCATCAACTCAACGAGGTGCGCCACAAACGACAACCTCAGACCTTCCGCCTACAATCCGGTCCTTCTGTCGAGGTCATCCTCAGCCCTGTACATATCCACTCCAACGTCTGTGGCCCGCCCCTCCTTCCTGCTGCATCCTACAGTTGTCCTTGCCTTGAACAGCTTTCGCGCCTTTCCCATATCTCACGTGTGCTTGTTCAGGAGCGTCATGCATGCATATCATGGCCTACATTCTACGAGATGCCCTTGTTCTGCTTAGTCTTGCTACTCAGTCTTTAGCACAGCAGGACGATCCTGTGAAAGGATTCTGCCGAAGATGGGGTCATGCAACGGCACGGGTTGACTCGACGCTGTACATTGATGGTGGCATGGTAGGAGAAGTCCCTTTCACGTCGAACCATTCCAGTATGTAGAGCTTGACAAAACATCGTTTACCTCTCTTCATATAATCTAACGACTGCTATCTAGATACATGGCTTTTGTCTAGTAACTTGAACTCATCGACGGTCGATGCCGGGATGCCGGAACAGAAGGCGTACTCGAAGCCTGGACATATTCCCAGCCTCTCCGGCGGTTATACATGGGCGGACAATACGAACAAATGCTTCTATCAGTTTGGCGGAGAATACGCCGCCGGTGCTAGTCCTATGGACTTCGGTATTTGGACCTACGATGTCCTGCTCAATCAATGGAACACTACCGAGACGACTGGCGACAAGGAGCTACAACGAGTATCGTTTGGAGCCGGGACGCAAGTCGAAAGCCGCGGATTAGGATTCTATTTCGGCGGATGGCTAAGCAACAGAACAGCGCCCGGTTGGAATGGGCCTCCCATGGCCACCAACGGGCTGATTCAATTCGACATGTCTACAGGTGACCTACAGAATATAACCGGACCAGATGATATTGGGAGAGCCGAAGGACAACTTTTGTTCCTACCCGTTTCAGACAGCGGTGTGCTTATCTATTTCGGTGGTATCGAAGACTCGTATCATAACGGCAGCTTTGATGCAGTAGGTTTAGACCAAGCCATACATGACTCAACATACTAACGTAGTGTATCAGGCAAACATGAGTGTAAGCTATCGAAGAGATATCCAGCTTCTACATAGCTGACGTTATAGACTATTCACGTCTACGATATGGCTTCGTCGAAATGGTATACACAGACCGCATCTGGCGATATACCTGACACCCGCAGACAGTTCTGTGCTGATGTCACTTGGCCGGATGACGAGTCATCTTTCAATGTGTAAGTTACTGGATTCTTGTCTTGTAAAAGTCATATTCCTGCTGTTGCTTTGATCGACGCCATCGGTAAGCTGGAAACGTCCACAGGGGCTAGAGGTCGTTGATACGAAAGAGGATCAACGGAGTCCCAAGGTTTTTGCCCGTGCTATCTAGGGTCTCGAGAAGACTGTGAGAAATTGCAGTTTGTCGCTAAGATCTCAGTGCCATATACAAGCTTCGTATACACATTGTGTCGCCTTGGAGTAAATATGCTTATTTGGAGTAGCTATCTTTACGGCGGGTACGGGTTCGGTGAAGCACCGGCTTTCGACGACGTCTACATCCTTTCTCTTCCGTCCTTTACCTGGATTAAGGTCTTCAGTAGTGAGAATCCATCTAAAATTGGTCATGGCGGTTGTAGTGCGAATGTGGGTAGGTGATATCGATGTACGAACTGTATATGAAATACATACTAACTTCGTAAACCAATCTTTAAGTCAATCGCGCGCAGATGTTGGTCATAGGTGGCTGGTTCCCTATATACGACAAATGCGATGTACCAGAAGGTCAAGGACAACACAACATGGTTCTTGGGTACAACGGTGGGGACTCAAAACTTTGGGACAAGTTCAGCCCTCAGCTAGACGACTACGTTGTTCCTTCGCCTATCATCTCCGTGATTGGGGGAGGGTAGGTATTTTTCGTCTGCAAACAGAGGTTAACACGACTAACAAGAATAGACCTACCGGAGGTGCCACGAAGACTTCCCCAGCAACGTGGGGCCACCCTGATCTTGCTACCTACTATACACTTAAACCTACCTTTACTGCAAGATCAGCTACTCGTGCTCTACTTTCGGCAACAGAATCCCCATCCCCCAGAAGCTCAAAGAAGACGAAGGTGGGAGCTATTGCTGGTGGTACAGTCGGAGGGCTTTTGGTACTCATAGGCATCCTATGCCTTATACTATTCTGCCTGCATCGGCGGAAGAAGGCATTGAAGACGAAGGAGGGTGAAGTTCCACTCGATCTTCCACCTGCTGAGCTTGCGACTACCGTGCCTCAAGAGATGGCCGACACAGCTGCTAGCAAGTACGTTTCCATACATGACCAGGCAGATTCTATCGCCCTTGGTTATTCCGGACATGTCCAACAACAATCATACTCCGTTAGCCACGACTACAACTCACCGTATTCGGCTCAAGGTCCTCCTTCGTACGGTCACGATCCCCCATACATATCTCCTGTTGAGGGTGGGCACGCGAATCACTCGCCACATGGCGAGCAAATCTCCAGCGACGGTAATGTTGCTCGTAACTCGCCGACAGCTGCTTGGAGTACTCAAGTAAACTATCCGCAGTCTGCGCAAGGTCAGGACACTCAATATTCGTACCCTACGCCGACTTCGCCACGACAATCTTCAAACGATGTTATTCAACAGCAAGTTCCAATCTACTATCCACGACCCAATAGTCCATCGACGAGCTCGCGACAATCACCACATTCGCCTTCTGGCAACAGAGGGAGTCCGGTAGGGACGCAATACAGCAGCGATGGACGTGCCAACCACATCAGCACTACAAGTACGCCGGCACGTTTTTATGCGCAGGCACCACAGCATGAATCTCGGGGAGATATAACAGGCGATCCATACAGGAGAGGTTTGTAACAGAAGGGCATATGTGAGATCTGGCGATCGCCTGTCTAGGAGCGTGCGGAAGTAGATTTCAGCAGACTTGGGTCCATGAATATGGTGCCTTTTGGGTGTTCCAACGGAGTTGTTGTAATTCGCTTGTAGTATCTTGCTTCCAGATCAGATGAATGGAGTCTTAATCCGAACATCCCGTTAGCATGCTTAGTGTTCGTAAGAACTCATACTTTTATGGTTCCCAAGGGTTACAATGACAAGGTAGTGGCCTCGAATGCTGTAAGCTTGTGATTTCCCCTCAAGGTTTTGGCACAAGCAGGACAAGGGCATACTCCGCTGCAAATATGTTGCGCGCGAAGACGCATATAGTGCAGGTAAAGCAGTCGAACTTGGCTGAGTGCTGAGGCTGACGTATTGAAAGTGGACGGAAATTGGGGTACTAGCACGGGCTCACGTGTGATCGCGCTTCAGTGCCGCCGACGCTCACACGTCACCTCGACTTTGGCCATATGCGAGGACACATGTCCTCAGCGACACCATAGCCCTCGCCGACTTCCTCATGATCATCCGACTTGTACAATGTTCAACCTGCGCTCAATTGTCCTACTTGTAATATCCTACGTCGTCATCCCGCGCCTGACGTTTCTCCCACAGAATGTCCACTCGATCCTCATCATCTTCGGACCCTTCCTCATACCCCGCGTACTCGACTGGATCAACCTCGCGCGCGCGACCGGAAGAAGCGTGCCAGTACGGCCGACGCCTCCGAGAGTTCAATATGCGTTAAACTTGCTCTTCGTGAGCGCAGTCGTATGCCTCGTCCTCTCCTTCTCTCGGTTTGCACCTGAGAACATATTCCTCAAGACACAAAGTCACATCCGAACAGAGACCAGTGTCTTGTTTGCGCGTCTACGCCACCTTCGACCGCTCACGGATGAGGATGATGCGTTACGGACAAAGTTCAACTGGAGCGTGCGCAACAAACTGCTGTACCTGACATATGGCCCCGACACCCTGTTGAACTGCGTGTGGTGTACCACATCCGATGGAAATGACCAGCAAAACTACTTTTTGTATTCGCTTCCAACCATGGTCACGCCGCATATCTTCCAACTCGCTGTTCTTGGTCTCGCGACGTCGTCGCTTGTAGGAAGCGAGGGTTCGCGGTTTCGCACGCATACCACCATTGCAGGATTGCTCTTGATGGTGGTGGAAGTGTGGTACATGGCCACCTACGACATCACGCTCAACAAGCGAGCAAAGTATGTGCAGGATATCGATTCAGCACACTGGCGTGTCCGATTCCTACGATACGTCGCCTTCGCCATGGTAGACATGGGCTTTGCCTTCGTCCTCTGGGCTACAAGCACGAACCGCTGGCTCGCCAAGCCTGTTTCCATCGCCGAGCGCATCGAAACAACTACACGAACCGCCGAAGATACATTCAATAAGATGCGTGCGCTAGCTCTGCTCACAAACTCTGTGAACCGCGATTCAGCGTTGCGAGGTGTGCGGGAAGAATACTGGAGGACCGAGGGCCAGGTTACAGCTGAGGTGGTGCAGGATGAACTCGTCATGGAACAAATCAATGCTGCTATTAGCAGAATGGACTTTAGTACGCTTGAAGGACGGGTTGGCGAGGTTGCAGATGGAATCATGAAGGGTATTGATAGCTTGAGGGCAAGTCAAATGCTGGCGGCGAGTCATGTCAGCGAGACATCGTCATCCCCGGCATCGTAGAGTTCACTTTGCGACGGTTAGAGGAGGAAATCTACATAGAGATACGTGCATGCATCGCGATGGAGCCTCGGCGTAGAGCGCCCCTTAGAAGACTGCAACCGGTCTGGCCGTCTTAGAATATGATACCCTGTTTTGAGCAGGTCACTTGAGCATTTTTTTTCCCCTGCGGTGAAGTTCTCCATTGCTTATACCGCTGATTACCGAGATACTTCGCCATCTCCCACAAGGACCACAACTTCACTGTCTGCATATACACCTCCGACATCGCAGACTGCGTATTATTATTCGTATTGCTCCAGGGTTGTACCAGATTCGATGATATATTGCCGTGTCATACTTTCTCCCCCATCTCCATGTCCGGGGATCGGAAGCGCGAACTGGTCGCGGATACTAGCGGTAGGTACGAGGATACCGCAGGCTCGGCACACACGCCCTACGCCCGCCTGCTCATTCTTGGTCCTCAGGTACGCTAGTAGACACAACCCCGGCTTCGACGGCTTCTGGAAGACGCGTCTTTTGTCATGGTCTTGACGATGGCGACTTATTCGTGTCATATCAGAGAAAGAGAGGAAGAGAACAATTTGGTGGCATTGAGAGAAGGCAATCGTGAGCAAGCTTTGCTCAAGATGGGTACTCCGAGCGTCCAATCCGGCTGCAAGTGGAACCCTTTATCTTTGCGTTCTGTAAGGAATGACACTAGACTCCCGCCGTAGTCCGCAGGGGGCTGGGCAAACATTACATCGATGGATCGTTAGGGTAAGTGGGTTTGCTCCCGCCCGTGTGATAGGAAGGCGTGTGACTCTTGATCGAATTTTTTCAGATCCATGGTATAAGAGCGCGTCAGGGTACGTGTCTTCTCATTGCGCATTGGACTACTCACTTCTCTTACCACACCGAAGCAACCATATTTTCTGTCCTCGACTATCGCTACTTCAATTGACAGCTTAGCAACCACACGTCCTCATATATAGCAACAATGGCACCCAGCGCCGTCACACCCCCGAATCACAACGAGACGGTCACCGACCTCACACAAGCCGGCATCAAATCTGCGCTCCTCAAGAATGCCCCAGAACAGATCAACTCTGCATCTCTCACAAACTCCATCACCGCCACACCACCAAACGAGCCAGCAAGCAAAACTCAAGATGTTGTTGACGCACCTCTGGCTGAACTTGATGCTTCCAAAGTCACCTGCACATACACCAGCACCCCTCGCTCTGTCCCAGCTGTAGGTTCAGCAGAGATGGCTAGCCAGAAGGTCTGCACCGACCACATGGTGCAAGCTCAATGGAATGTTGAGACCGGCTGGGCAGCACCAGAGCTGAAGCCCTACGGCCCGTTGTCCCTTGCACCCACGGCCTCATGCCTGCACTACGCGACTGAATGTTTCGAAGGAATGAAGTTGTACCGTGGATACGACGGCAAACTACGTCTCTTCCGCCCAGACCTGAACTGTCGCCGTATGCTCATGTCCACAAACCGTATCGCCCTGCCCGCGTTTGATCCCGAGGAACTCCTCAAGCTTATTGTCAAGCTTTGCGCAACAGATGGTGCCAAGTGGCTTCCAAAGGACCGTCCAGGACAGTTCCTTTACATCCGTCCTACCATGATCGCTTCCGATCCCGCCCTTGGCGTCGAGCGGCCGAAAGAGGCCCTTCTCTTCGTCATTCTATGTTGCTTTGCTCCCATGGGAGACATGAGCGGTGGTATTAAGCTGCTCGCTTCTCAAGACGATATGTGCCGCGCGTGGCCCGGCGGTTTCGGATACGCTAAAGTCGGTGCCAACTATGGTCCTTCTCTAGTAGCCCAAGGCGAGGCGAGAAAGAGGGGATACCATCAGATTCTCTGGCTGTTTGGTGAAGATTGCACGATCACCGAGGCGGGAGCCAGCAACTTCTTTGTTGTGTGGAAGTCCAAGGATGGAAAGCTACAACTTGTTACCGCTGATCTCAACGAACGTATTGTCCTTGATGGTGTAACGAGGAGGTCTATTCTCGAACTCGCCCGTTCAAGGCTCACTTCTTCTTCTCCTTCACCCGATCTCGAGACTCTAGAGGTTATTGAGCGCAAGTTCAACGTCTTCGAGATTGAAGAAGCGGCCAAGGAAGGACGCCTTGTCGAGGCATTCGCGGCTGGTACTGCGTGGTTCGTCGCTCCTATCAGCCAGATTCACTTCCGTGGCAAGGACATTGAGGTGCCAATGGTCAAGGGTGACTCTGGCGCGTACGCGAGCTTCTTCAAGAACTCTCTCAAGGGCATCATGTGGGGTAGCGACGGTATGGAGGGACATGAGTGGGGTCGTGTTATCGATGAGGAATGAATGTGTTTGCAGAAGTGGCGGTAGAGTCGTATGTGCATGAACATGGCGTTTGATTTCCCAGGGTGGTTCATCTTTTCCTTTTGTTTTGGTACTTAGTAAAAGCGAGGAGCATGGCTGTCGGCTGTTTCTGCATACACACAGATTGCTTTGGTTAGCAACTATACATATATCCGTTACACACGATAAGTTCGCTGTCGTTCCCTCTCGTATCCTGATAGCACGTGATGCACAAGAATACAATCTTCGAGGTTGTTTCTCCAGGGTAGGAAGGCTGGGGAGCTGTTACAGAAAGGTATACACATAATCACAACGGGCCCACGGGTTCACCTAATTTCCAATCTCATTTACATGCGCTAACCACGGACCTCAGACCCTTCGATAACGAGATTTGGGGAGCAAACGCCCGTGCTTATCGATCGACCCTTGTGACGAAGAAATGTCTATTGGTTATCGAATATCTGCTCATTGATGCCCGGTATAAACGAGTTGCAACGACAACCGCGAACGTCTCGGCAGAAGCCGAGCTATATCACGACATATGTAGCAGGGTCAGGAGATGTGGGGATACGATATATACGTTGCCCTGTTAAGATCTCGCAAAGCTCCGAAGAGTTGCATAGCTGCAGAAAGAGGAAGGGGCGCAGTGCCGCCGTATTATAGCCTTCCTTGGCGTCTTTCCCCTTTGCAACGGCGCGTGGTCCCGTCGCGCCTCAAGTGCTTCGCGAAGTGACCAGCACCCTGGCGTACATCATGCACTCCCACCAATTAGCATCCTGACTCGGGCTGTTTCTACAAGCGAAATGCGCATTGCAAGCCATGACTTCTCGGCGAGCCCTTGCCGTTGTGTGAACCGTGATTGTCAACCTCCCCCCCCCCTTCACGCCTGCACCACCGAACCATCTGCCCACAGCA